TCATTAAGCACAGGTGGGTTCTGGAAAACTATTTCCAGCTGTTTTGCAGGACTTCATATCAAAGAGAGCCATCTGATTCTAGTTCACCACAGATCATGGTGGGGTCTGAAATGCTGTGCAAAGAGGAAGCTCTTCAAAGTGAGCTCTTTCCCCCTCTGAAACCTAGCCACAATGCAAAATGAACTCCTAGGCTCCAGCTGGCTGCCTTACCTACATGTCTGACTCCAGAGTCCTGAGTCATTTCTTCTGTTTGTTGTACTGATAATTTTGGTTCAAGAGTAGCAGCAAAGGCTTGCAACCGTGAGCTTCCTGATCCTGCTGTTGAAGCAAAGAGGCATTTGTGGTGTTTTTAGCCCCAGTTACATATGTGCCTGGGACTATATCCTTGGTAGAAGAGACAGTTATGATCACTGTTTCTACAATATCTGGTTAGGTGTTCAACTAGGACCAAATCTATTTGAAGCCACCTAAAAGTCCTACTAGACCTAAGTTATTCAACAAGTGTTTCTTCTGTCAAATGAGATGCTCTGATTTAAGATGTTCTTTGGGGAAAAAAATGTATTAAAAATGTACTGTGAGCAGAGAGGTGCTGGCATTTAAAATCTGCCATCAGTACTGGGTGGAGTACTGAGACAGCTGATTCTCTGATTTGTTCATACCTATTGTTTGTGTCTGAGCTATTCCATGTCATTGAGTTCTCACCCACCTGTCACTCGCATACGTGGCCTGAGTCTTTTATACTTGCCAGTAGCCTGTATGCACCACATAGCAATGTGCATGTTCTGCATGTAGGCTGGGATTGTCAGAGGACCCCCAGGGGTTAGAGCTGAGTTCCCAAGGCCATTTGGACAATCCTAGCCAGGATGGTTTCGCCAAAACATTCTCAGCTTGAACTTGGTTGTAGTTCTGGTTACTTCCCGTTGAGGTTGGCTGCAGCTTGTGGTGGAGATGATAGACTTGTTCATGTTAACAACTGGGTGGGGAGGAGCTTGTTTAAGTTCTGCCTTTAACACTTTGAGACAGGACCTGTGGTTTTGTTGTCTGTCTTCTTGTTTCATTTCCTACTGTTTCACACCTCTGTGTGTCTTCTGTCTCTTCTTCTTCCCCTCCACACCAGCCCCCCCTCCCCCCCCAAATTATCAAGCTGCAAAGAGCTCACTATTAATATGGTAATGGTTCCCAAGAATGCTCTAAAGCTCTTTGGCGCACATTGACTTCCTGCCGAATGCTAGGGATAAAAAACCAAACCATATCAGCTTGCTCAGAATGTCAGATAGCTTGCCTAGGTTTCAGCACATGCCTATTCATTTGAGGAAAAACTTGCATTTAAACTTGATTTCACAGGGTTTGTTGTTAAAGGTGCAGCCTAGTTTTGTAGGCTTTAGTGCTTGCCTGGCAGTCAGAATTCAGTGACTTGCCAAGCGTCCCACTGTAAGCATGAGAGCACATTTCAAAGGTTTTCAGAGGTGGACTAGAGAAACTCCAAGCTGTGTGCTGTTTCTGTGAATCAGCCTCCTCGGGCTGAATGTTGTTGTATTTGCCAAGCCAGAGTAATTTATTTAGTTCCCAACATTGTGCAAAACCCAAGGAATTGGCAAGTGATGGGTTTGAAATTAATTTGTGTTTATTATATGAATCCGTTTGCTGATTTTTGAAGCAGTTCTTGGTCTTGAACTGTACTATTTGTGCGCTATGCACAGTGTATTACAGTAGCAAGCACAATGAGCCAGGCCCCAGCCATTAAAAGGAATACAGCCCTGGTGTGTTTATTCTCTGTAAGATGACGAGCAGTTTCGTGAAGGCTGGGACAAGGATAAAGTGAATGTATTCTTTCTTTTTAAGTAAGTGTAAACTATCGTCAGCTATCCCCTACCATGGCCAGCCCCCATCAGTTAGCTGGCTAATATTTTTGTAGATGTCATTGTAGGGATTTGAAAGAGAAGAGGGTAGTAGTCCCATGGACCACATCCTGTAGAGAGCTCTCTGAATAAGGGTCAGCATGGAAAAATGCAAAGATCTCTGGAGAAGCGGAAACACTTGGATTGGGATTGGGATGGGGAGGAAGGTTGGCACCGAGTTGGAGGGTATGGAATAACATGTTACCATCAAAGTTAAGTAGGTTTTTTGTGCAGGCTTGAGATACTCTGGCGATGGGAGCTCTGGGAGTCCCTAAGATAGCTGCTTGCCATTGTTGGTTCTTCTCATAGTTCCCTCTTTGAAATATGGAAGTCTTGTCTGATACGCTTGGCAGTTGTGTGTGTCTATCCAGATGCTAATGCTTTCAATGTTTTAAGCCAGACTTGCATAATTCTGCTTGCCCACGGGGAGTAACTTTTTTGATGAACAAGTCAAATAAAACTTTTTTTTTTCCCATTATCAATCACGATTTTTAAGCATGGGTAAGTAGATTATGTGCTGGGGTTGGGAAATGTTCGTGACAGTTTTGCAAAATGAAAGTAGAAGAAAAAACCTTCACAGTGTAAAGAATTGAGCTCCTATCTTGGTATCAGACATCAAGAATTATAACATTCAAAAACCAGTCGGAGAACACTTCAACCTCCCTGGTCATTCAATTACAGACCTAAGTGGCAATTCTTCAACAAAATAACTTCAAAAACAGACTCCAGTGAGAAACTGCAGAACTGGAATTAATTTGCAAACTGGACACCATTAAATTAGGCTTGAATAAAGACTGGGAGTGGATGGGTCATTACACAAAGTAAAAACTATTTCCCCATGCTATTTTTTTCCCCTACTGTTACTCACACCTTCTTGTCAACTGTTTGAAATGGGCCATCCTGATTATCACTACAAAAGTTTTTTTTCCTCCTGCTGATAATAGCCCACCTTAATTGATTAGTCTCGTTAGAGTTGTTATGGCAACACCCATTTTTTCATGTTCTCTGTGTGTATATATCTTCCTACTGTATTTTCCACTGCATGCATCTGATGAAGTGGGTTTTAGCCCACGAAAGCTTATGCCCAAATAAATGTTAGTCTCTAAGATGCCACAAATACCCCTCATTCTTTTTGTTGATACAGACTAACACAGCTACCACTCTGAAACTTGGTATCTCTGCATCTTGAATACACCTTGCCACTTCCATAAATACCATAGGCCAATTTCTTTTCCATTTCTTCATATTTGTACTGGTCTGTTAGAGAACAGATTTTAACCTAGCAAAGTGCTAGGTTGAGACTAATTCTGCTTGAAGTACAAAGCTTGGAGCCTGTGTTTCGTTAATGTTATCCCCCAGTGCATTGTAGTTAGGGAGTCAAGGTTAGTCTTATTAAATTCTTCATAAGAAATGTTTATTTTTACCAGCTGTACTCTAGCTCTTGCACCTTGGTGCCATGCTTTTGTTTTGTTCACATCAAATTCGTGAGATGGGTTATTTCCTCACTGGCTTCCCTACTTTTACACCATCTCTCTCAAAAGGCCTTTGTGGAGATTTGCTTCTCATGCAAATCTTATGAAAACTGTGTGTTGTTGATGTGGGCCATGGTTGGTGTGCGTTGGTGTCATTTGTGCTAATACTGGGGCATTATTAGCATAAACATCCAAAGGCAAAGCAATTTGCAAATAATCTTGGCTGTGTGGCCCCTTTGATAGTACTCCTGCATCTTGCTACTTTTTCTTTTCCTTGACTGAAGAGCGAAAAAGGGAAGAAATGGTTAATGATGTCATGTTCTGGGCAAAGCTCTTTTTGCTGATGCAATGGGGGAGGGGAACCCTTAATATCCATTGAGCTGAAACAGTGTTGTATGTATGAGATGCAGACCTTTGTCTCCCAAATTCCACCCCTTTCTACACACACGTGCAGACACACGCAAAAACCACCTCTGGGATTTGGACGGCACACTGGAGGTGGCAAAGCAATCAATGTGGAATGCCATCATCACCCCAGAGCGCAAATGCTGTTTGAATGGTTGGATGGCTGGCCACAGCTTGCCGTTTGGTTACCGAGACTTTTCTCTTAACTTCAGTCTCCGGGTTTACTGTTTGCTGTTGCTGAATGGCTGGATTAGTTTGGAGAACTGTCCTCTATGGGCTTGTCTACCCTGGCTCTTTACAATGCTGCAACTTCCTCGCTCAGGGGTGGGGAAAAAACACCCCCTGAGTGCTGCAAGTTGCAGTGCTGTAAAGTGCCAGGGTAGATGGTGCGCGAGCGCTGGGAGCTATTCCCCTCGTGACTACACAAGCCATGTTAAAACGCTGTCACAGCCAGCACTTGAACGTTGCCAGTGAAGACGTGCCCTATAACTGGGGCTTCCAGGTTGCCAGAAGAGAATCAAGCACTTTCTGGCAAATGAAAAACCCAGTTTTCCCATTCTCTTTGCTCTATATCTTCAGCTTATCTTGGTTTCAACAGCTCTAGCTGTAATACCTGCTCTGATCCTGAGAGTGAGATTTTTGAAACTGACAGCTGGGAGGGTGGACACTAGAAACCGACGAAAAATCTTCATGTAGCGTCTTCTGAATGTAAATTGAAATCCTAATGCTAAGTCTAATTGCTAGAACATGTGTCTCCTGCAAGAGCTGATACGTGTATCTGATAAATGGAAGAAAAACACCTTTTGTAAGAACTGTGTATATAATAAGCGAGATGGCTGTATTTGCAGATTCTGACACAGTCCTAATAGTGCTAAGTTCCTGGCATTTTTAAGGAGGTTAAATAAATGGTGTGTATATTTTATGAGGCAAAGATATGCTATTGTCAGCATTCTGCCTCTATTGTTCGTTTGTCCCCTGTACCCCCTATTAGAAGCTGCAGATTTGCTGGTTGGGTTCACTTTAGTGCACAGATCAGCAGCAGCTCTTCCTCCCTCCCGTTTTCCCTGTCGTGGTCCAAGGGGCAGTCAGGCATTGTGGGATTGCACGTGACTTCACTGGACTGTGTCTCTCAGCCGTTTGCTTACACAAACACCATCCGATGCTTACAGCAGTTGGAATGGGTCATGTACTCCTCTTTTAATCGAGTCTCTCATTGTTCTTTCAGATTTTGGGTTCAGTAACATCTTCACACCTGGCCAGCTGCTTAAAACCTGGTGTGGGAGTCCCCCCTACGCAGCCCCCGAGCTCTTTGAAGGGAAGGAATATGATGGGCCAAAGGTTGACATTTGGGTATGCGGTGAACATATCTGTATTTTGCTTTGATCTCATATCGCTGCTTTTTACATGTGGCTTTGCTTCCAAAGCACTGAATTCACTTCTTGTAGGAAGGACCCATTTGTGGAAATAGTGTTATTCAAAGAAATGTAGCTTTATTCCAGCTATTAAATTGTATGCTTCTTGTTATAAGGCACTGTGCTTAATATTTTAGGAGTTGTGTAGAAATATATGTACATTTTGATTTGGTCTTAAGAGAGTTATATTCAATTAATACTTACCAGTGAGAAGTTGGCTATTCTGCTTGTTGTCTGGTTTGACCTGGTGTATTTATTTGTAGCAGGTAGAGATCATATCCCTCAGAACAGAGCATTTAAAGGGGCACAATGAAGGCAAAAGGCCCAAAAGAAGAATGCTCGCAGCTGCCTGCCCATCCCACATCAATTAGTAGTTTGAAACAGTCTCCCTTACAGGCATTAGCTATTTGGTAACAGCTCTGCAAAAGCACGGCTATAGCAGTTTTACAATCCTAGTTCGAAACTGGGCATGAGGTTTGTTGCCATTCTGGTGTGGCTGTGCGATTCCTGCCATCCCTCCATTTTCCTGGCCGGATCGTCTGTGCGCTTTAAGAAGGGGTCCAGGAGGGTGGGCGAGAAGCACGGCATGAGTTAAGCTCTGCATGTTCTGTGTGGACGTACAGTCGCCACAGAGCCACAACTGAATTTTACAAACTGTGTAACTCTGAACCAAGTGGATTTACACTGGGGATGATAGTTACCCAGAGTCTCCCTTTGTGGTGATGGAGGGCTGGGATTTTAGGATTGTTGCACCCTTTGTTTTTGAGGCCTAAGAGCAGGCCTATCTCAGGCTTATTCAACAGATGTCTTTGGGAGGTTGAGCTGGGATTAGTTGGGGGCTGCTAAACCATGACAATATCCTAATTTTGTTTGCATTCTTCCAAAAGCTACACTTGCTGCTGTTCTCTGCAGTTTCAGAGCCTCTCATGTCCCCTTTGACGTTGCTAATATGTGTCAAATCTTTGTTTTTAACACAGAGTCTTGGTGTGGTCCTTTATGTGCTGGTCTGTGGTGCTCTGCCCTTCGATGGGAGTACTCTGCAGAATCTGCGGGCAAGGGTGCTTAGTGGAAAATTTCGCATTCCATTTTTTATGTCCACAGGTAAGGCCAGATTTGTTTGCACTGAGGTTTCTGAAACTGTTTGTTCGCAGGCACTATCTGAAGCTTCCTGCTCTGAGTGTCTTTGGAACAGTTCAGCTTCAATACCAGCTGGCTGAATTTATTTATTTTGTTTCTATCTTCAGATAAAGGACATTTCTACCCATCTAGTAGCTGTATGGGTTGAGCACTATCTAACATGTAAACTGTATGGATTTCTGAATTCCAGAGAACTTCTAAATCCATTTTCTTTTGAAAATTTCAGCTCCCATCTATTCTAACCTTGCATATCATAGACTGCTGTCAATACATGACTAAAATATTAGTGAGGGCAGGTTTTTAGTAGCTCTTGTAAGGTGGAAAGTCTGAAAACACACCAGGCCCTAGGAATCTGGAACCTTTTACCATTTCTCTCTAAGACAGGAGAGTTTTGCAGGCCCTCTGGTAAGTTCTGTTAATAATCCTGAATTTGTCTTCATTTTCTGTACGAACCCCCTTGGGTACATGTCTACTTACTGGACACAGATACATGGGCTGCTGGAATGGAGCATGTTCTAGGCTCAACAAAAAGAAATTCTCCTGAAAGATTAGCTTGATTCCATTTAAAATAAAACCAAGTTCTCTCTGAAAATGGCTGTGTGTTGGATCTCCTTGTCTACAGCTCTGTGAGTAGAGACAGACCTGCTTTTCTGACGGCTAGTTACTGAGCAGCTTGATTTCTTTCTATTCTCGTTCCTTTACAATAGGTTCGTAGTTAAACATAGTATAGGGCTAGTACAGAGCCACATCGCCATAAAGCCGAGCTGCATTTCATTCCTCGAAGAGCCTCACCTGTGAATGTGTAAAAGGGCTCCAGTCTGTTTTTGTGCTCAAACATTTAACCTTTAAAAGTCAGTTAGATCTAATTTAAATATGTTGTTGACTTTATGTACGTACCAATATAGCGATTGGAAACCAGGAGATATCCGTAGATTGATCTTCACTTCCTTTGACAAGTGTAGGAGGCTGCAGGGATTTTTTAAAAAATCCATTTCTTCACTAGGTAGATGGGACTGAAGTGCTGAGCAGGAGTTTGCAGATAGTGTTTTCTTTTCTTCTCCTCCTTTCCCCCCAGCTTTCTCTCCACACATGCACATTAGCTGTGTGAAACTACAATATCCTGCTTGCAGCTAGGGACTGCTCTATGCAGCCTTCTTCAAGGGCTGCTGCTAGTATAGCACATTCTTGTGCATAACTCCCATCTGTCTCAGGACTGGCCTCATTTGGTTCTCTTTCTCACTGCATTTCAGTGACCACTAGTGACCTGGTTCTCAAGAGCAGAAATATCCCTGGCGTTGTGAAAGCTCGGGGAGTGTCATGCTTCTGCTGCAGTATGTCCAGAGCGGCTTGTTGTCTTAGCAAGTCTGCAAGATAGTGTCTAAGTGAGCCTTTTGCATCTATCAGTCCTGTAAATGACACTTGTACAGTACACAGATGACACAGACATGAGCTTTCATTATTAATAAGCAGTGCTTCCTTAACAAAGCTGTGGTGTTTAGTGTGTTAATTTAGGGTTGAATGTTCCTTCTCAAAGACGCCCTCAGGAGACTGGTTTGTAGATTACCACATTTCTGTTTGCTGTAAATTCTTAATGTTAGTTGCTCTGAGTGCATTTTAAATATTTTGTTTTTAATGCCTGTCATCTTGAGGTCATTCCTGATCTTCCCACGGTACCAGACAAGACATAAAAATACTGAAGTGCTATGCTGTTTCCATCAGTTTTTTCATCTTGGCAGGGCATGCTAGTTCTCATTCATGACTAGTTGTCTCAAATACACTGGTTCCTTTTCAAGTACCAGAGGAGTCATTTGGATACATTGGGGAGAGACAAAGAAAAAGAAACGCATACTTCCTGCCCACCCTGAATCCTTCTCTTACATGCATGCACAAAATACTTTGAAGGCCAAGTGGGTGAGTTACTTCAACAGGCTCTCATCTTTGGGAATCTGGAGTTGAAAGATGAGTTGAAAGGCCATATCCTAATCCTGTGTACATATTTGCTTATCTCACATCTTCCCTGTGCAGTTTGGCACCATTGGCAGTTGCTGCTTACGCGGAAGCCAGGACTGCACAGTCAGAGTTGTGGAGGAGATTAGTGCAAACATGTCTGCCCTAAATTGTACGCAGCTTGTACTTAAGAGCAGCATAGAAAACTGTTTGACTTCAGTAGTGAAAAGAACAAGGGGACATAAAGTGAAGTGTTCAGCATCTCCTGTAACTTACATGTTCCTTAGCTAATGCTCAGGCACTGCTGAGGCTTTGTGTGCTTGTGCAGCCATGCTGAAATGCTGCTGTAGGGTGTAAAATTGAGGAGAATAATGAGCATGTTGCTCTTTCTAGTCTGTTGCTTCATGATTCTTTGCCATGGTAGCGTAGGTGGATAGATAACCTCGCTCTGGTCCTAGCTCTTCAGAAGATGATGATGATGAAATTCCCTAGCCTCTCTCATTCGGGAATATGGAGGAAGGTTTTATACAGGTCACTAGCTTTACATAACCACTTCAGTTTCCAGGAAAGCAGCATCCATTTTTGCATGTGGGAAGGCATGTTACCAAAGCCCCTTCACGTCAATCTGAATGTTTCACTTAGCTTTAGACTTTTTGGAGTTTATTGAAACCAACATTAGTTATAAGCTGCACTCGTGCTAAGGGCGCTTTCATGGCCACTTGTGCTAGGCAATTCCATCAACACATCTGCCTAAAAACGGGGCTGGACTGGGGGAATAGGACGTGATTTCAGATTCCTTTGCTCTCGAGGAGGAAGAGTGGAATTTAATTTCTGCTTTTTGGTTGGGCTGATTTTAGCAACGCAATCCCTAAATGATGTAGTCTGTCACTTCTGGAGACCTGGGTCCAAACCCTGACTTAGGTTCCAGTTGAGGAAGGTTTGCTGATCTCATCAGAGTTCCCCATTTTTCCAAAACATCTCATTGCTAGGCACAATTCACAGTGACTGCATATAAGAGGTTTAAGCCTGGAATAGCAGCAGGTGCTGCAAATCCAGACTAAGGAGCTGTGTCAGAATTTAGGAGAGAAGCTCAAGAACAGCACAGACCAGCTGTAGGCCAGGGCTGGGAGAGGTGGAAGGTACACTGGAGGAGGGACAGCCTGGGCTGGGCTGCAGGTCAGTGTGTGTGGGTAGGAATAAACCCAGCAGGGGCTGCTTTAGTGCATGATCAAAGTGGATTGGCAGAGTTGTCGTGGGGAAGCTTTCCCAGTTCCTGCGTGCACTGTGCCTGTCTCAGATCAGCCTTCTTGATGTACTTGTGTGAGTGCACAAATAATCTGATGGAGAATGCTCAGCGTGGTACTGTACTCAGCCTCTAAGAGCAGATCACCACCTTCCTTTGTTTAGATAGATTTCCTAAAGCAGTTTTCTGCTAGGCTCTTAAGCCATAATACACTGGAGTTGTGCTCTGAAGAGCTTGTGGCTGGAGACAGGGAAGCCATTGACCGTAGCTCTATGTGAATGGCTTTCTCATTTGGACCCTTTAATTCTCTTAAACAAAAAACCCCTTCTCCCTGTTCTGGTGCAATATCTCTGCAGGATGGGGAGTCCTGAGAAGCCTGCCTAGTCTCTGTGTCCCATACAGTTTAGCTTGCCGGCTAAATCTGAGGCTTCCCAACCTGAAGCTTTGAGTATCCAGAGCTTAACTGCCACCAAACCAAAAATAAGCCAGTGAATTCTAAACGTCACTGTCAGTTATATCACCCCGCCACACCCCACCGGCCCTTGATTCTTTGGCATGGACTAATCAGTGACTTCTTCAGTTATTCCTTTTGGCCCACTTACATGGTATGTCACAAAAACAAGGGAAAGCAGGGAAATTAGTCTAATCCGGGAATGATGCATGGGATAACACTGCCAAGCAAGAAGCCATGGAGAGCTAGTTAGTCAAGGGACCTCTGTAGGGAGGGTTCACCAAAGACGTGGATTTGGAGACGAAACCTTGGCTCTTGCATAGGGAGTGGCATAAAAGAAGGTGCAAAGCCACCTTTATGTCAGATGTAGGAGCATCTGATGGTCTGAGATCTTTGCAGTGCACAGCTGGGTGAGGAAGGTACAGGGTGGCACCCTTAACTACATTTCCTTGGTCTGGTTGATTTAAGTTAGAGCCTTAATGTTGTTTCAGTATTTTTGTTTCATGAAAAATAATCCCCTTTGCCAGAAGCAGATGCTCTAGAGATTTCATAGAGGCTTTATTTCCTCTTCCTTCTGGGCTTTCTCCAGACTGAGGCCCTCTTTGAAGCCTTAGCTCATGAGTGACACATTGAGGAAAGGGGGAGGGCTGGAATGCCTGGAGGGGTGGCCTGAGCCATTTGAAAGGGCATGTTGAGCAGCTCCATGAGTCTGAGAACAGAAGTGGCTGAAGAGCTGTGTGTAGCTAGTATTGCTTTACAGGTGCTTAAACTGCCCTGGTTTCTGGCTTTCCAACAGATCCCTTCTGAGCCTCCTGATTAACAAGTGCCTTGCGCTTTTGCTAAGCACTGTGCAACTTCATGTGACCATGAAGAATTCATGACATTCTCTGCCCTCAGCCTGCAACACTTGAAGTGACGGTTCAGCCACACCAGCTGTCTCCTGTTAGTTGGACAACAGTGAAGGGTTTAAAGAGAATTAATTTCACCCTCTGCCCCTCCTCAGTGCCTTGCTTTAGGAGTCCTAGGAGTTCTCGTTGGAACATTCCTATGATGGCTGAATTTGCAAGGTCTTGTAATGCGTATGACTGTGCTGCCCTTGGTTGCTCTTCAGTCTCATTAGTTTCATGTCTATGGAATGGCTGTTTGTGTCTCTGTTAAACTCCAACAAAGCCCCATTCCGATAAAAATTCTCTTTAAATCCACTAAAGCTGTAAAAAGTGTATCATAGGAACAGGACTTGCCAGACTAGATCAGACAAGCAGTCCATCCCTTCTAGCATCCTGTATCTAACAGTGACTAACACCAGCTGATTTTAAAGATGGTGCAAGAAGCTCCAAAGGGGGCAGTTATGGAATAACTTTCCCACAGAGGCAGCTTCTTCCTAACGTTCTTTACTCAGTGGCTGATGCCCTAAGGAATGAGGGTTTATTTCCCTTTTAAAAATGTTCTCTTATCCCAGGTGTTCCCATTGTCCTTATAAATGCCTAATCCTTTACTTTAAATCATCCTGAGATCCTCACCTTTGAAACCTTGACGCAGTGAGTTCCACAGATTAATTATGGATTCTATAAAACATTATTTTATCAGTTTTAAATTGCTTGTTTTTCATCTTCATTGAATGTCCTCATGCACTTGTATGTTGTCCAAATGCGGAAGTAAGGCTCCTCCTGTCCTTTCCTGCCCCCCTCCATTGTGCCAACAAGCTGGAGTAGCTCTGTGTGCCTTAGGGACTCTTAGAACAATAGTAATATCACAGTAATTCCTAGCATTTTAATAGCAGTCTTCCTCACAAGTGCTTTTCAAAGGAGGGGACGTGTCCTCTTCGTTTTACACATGAGGAGACAGGCCCAGACTGCTGTAGTGTCTCCCTACAGGAGGATCTGGATGACCTTGTAAACTGGAGTAATAGTAATAGGATGAAATTTAATAGTGAGAAGTGTAAGGTCATGCATTTAGGGATTAATAACAAGAATTTTAGTTACAAGCTGGGGACGCATCAATTAGAAGTAACGGAGGAGGAGAAGGACCTTGGAATATTGGTTGACCACAGGATGACTATGAGCCGCCAATGTGATGTGGCCGTGAAAAAAGCTAATGCGGTCTTGGGATGCATCAGGCGAGGTATTTCCAGTAGGGATAAGGAGGTTTTAGTACCGTTATACAAGGCACTGGTGAGACCTCACCTGGAATACTGTGTGCAGTTCTGGTCTCCCATGTTTAAGAAGGATGAATTCAAACTGGAACAGGTTCAGAGAAGGGCTACTAGGATGATCCGAGGAATGGAAAACTTGTCTTATGAAAGGAGACTCAGGGAGCTTGGCTCGTTTAGCCTAACGAAAAGAAGGTTGAGGGGAGATAGGATTGCTCTCTATAAATATATCAGAGGGATAAATACCGGAGAGGAAGAGGAATTATTTAAGCTCCGTACCAACGTGGACACAAGAACAAATGGATATAAACTGGTCATCGGGAAGTTTAGACTAGAAATTAGATGAAGGTTTTTAACCATCAGAGGAGTGAAGTTTTGGAATAGCCTTCCGAGGGAAGCAGTGGGGGCCAAAGATCTATCTGGCTTTAAGATTAAACTCGATAAGTTTATGGAGGAGATGGTACGATGGGATAACATGGTTTTGGTAATTAAATATTCATGGTAAATAGGCCCAATGGCCTGTGATGGGCTATTAGATGGGGTGAGATCCGAGTTACCCAGGAAAGAATTTTCTGTTGTATCTGGCTGATGAATCTTGCCCATATGCTCAGGGTTTAGCCGATCGCCATATTTGGGGTCGGGAAGGAATTTTCCTCCGGGGCAGATTGGAAGAGGCCCTGGAGGTTTTTTGCCTTCCTCTGTAGCATGGGGCACGGGTCACTTGCTGGAGGATTCTCTGCTCCTTGAAGTCTTTAAACTACGATTTGAGGACTTCAATAGCACAGATACAGGTGTGAGGGTTTTTTTGTAGGAGTGGGTGGGTGAAATTCTGTGGCCTGCGTTGTGCAGGAGGTCAGACTAGATGATCATAATGGTCCCTTCTGACCTAAATATCTATGAATCTAGTGACTTGCCTAGGCAGAGTCAGTAGCAATCTTAGGAACAGACCCATATCTCTGGATTCCGAGACCCATAGGCAAACTGCTTTGGGGTACCATGTGACAACTGGCATGCATCAGCCACATGAAAACCATCTTATCTCCTGATGTGCTGATCACTCCTTGCCCTGTACATGCCCTGTGATGTGCTGTCACTTGGCTTAGCTGTTAACTGCTATGCTTCCATCCTGAGTCCTTGGGACTTCACTGAAAGAAATCTAATACTTGCACTGAGGCAGAAATGTTGTACTAAAATGTGTAGTGCATCTAAAGCACTCCCAGATCTGTCCAACCTCTGGGACAGCCACAATGCTCTTCACTTAGAGAGGAGACACAGTAACACCCTTTCCCCCCTCCACCCCAGGATCCATTCATAACTTAATACTTCTGCTGTCGAAGGGCTGGTGCCTTGCATTCTCCATTGAAAATGATCTCTGTGTATCTTCTTTCACTGAAATACGTTGAGGTTTTTCTTGCTCTGAAGACTCAGCTGGCATAAGGTGCGAGCTAGATGAGTGGTGTGAGAAGTAGCTGCTGCAGTTGGCAGAGGCTCCACAAGGGGAATTCAGTGTGGTGCTTGGGCATTTTTAATGGCTGCGATAAGAAAGATGCAGTATTTAAAAATTAAGCAGTTTATGGCTAGATCTGATGTGAAAGGAACAATTTGCGTTTTATTCCTTTACATCTAAATTGCTGCTTAATTTATTGAACCAGTTGTGATAGTTTTTTAAAAAATATCTGCCTGTGAATTTGCATCTTAATGTTATGCTGTGTTCATTCTTTTTTAGAGATTCTTGTGTTGTAAATAGGAAAAATAATGTTCACAAAAATGTATAATTTGTTAACTGCAGACAAGGCTCCATCTTTATTGGGGGAGACGCCAGCTCCTATTTTATAGAATGCTTTAATGGAAAATTTAATTTGAAAATAAGACATTTTCTCTGGCTTCAGGTTGCACTTGTCATCAGTTTACATGGTGTAAGCTTAAGTCAGGTGTGGTGGTGGTGCTTGTTATTGTAAGGAAGTTGGGGAAATGTGTTTTCCTGCATTAAGCCTGCATTTGGTAATCCTGCCTTGGCAGCCTGTTAGATGGTGATTGTGGTTTGCCCTTCAACCCTGAAATATGGGCTGTATTGCATTGCCAGAGTAAACAAGTATGTGGAGAGTAGACGAGGGCCACCTACAGGCTGTAACAAACATCACAGGGTTGATTCTGATGGTTGCTTGTTGAATGAAAGAGGGAGTTCATATTTCATTCAAAAACTGGACTTCAGTGTTGGCTGGTTTATAGGGGAGAAGTATACTGAATTAAAGGTGTATATATATAGTGGTGGTCTAGTCGTCTGGTCTCAGGATATTTGAAGTGGTGAGATAATGTCTTTTATTGGACTGACTGTTAGTGAGAGAGACAAGCTTTTGTGCTTACACAGAGCTCTTCCGGTCTAAAGATATACAGACAGACAGATTTGGCCCCAAATATCAATGCTTTCAAAGCAAGCTTCTGCAAAACCTAAATCCAATAAAAATGTTACCATAGACTTCAAAAGTTGATTTTTGCTGTACGAACACAGGGTCTGCACCAACATTGTCTTGCACGTCGCTATAAGGAAAAGAAAACCCATGCTCTTGAGTGGTAGAAGCCATCGATGTCCTTTGGGAGTTGGGGTCTTTCTGCCCTTGTGCCTTGCAAAACCTCCCGCAGTTACTAACTTTTGGTCAGCTGAGGACTGAGGGCTATTGTGCCACAGTGCCGCATGGGGTCCCTTTAACTCTGCTGAGCTGGAGATCTTGTTTTAATTTTGCTTTGCGTGGAGCGTGTGCCTAGTCCTTGTAGATGCTAAACTCAGACATCAAATGTCTGGAATTTAATCCCACACTTGCGTCGAAGACTGAATCAGGCCTGACACAAGGCATGTGTATATTTGCTGTTCGTCAATGACCCTGTAGACAGAGTAGTGTTGTTGTCCGTTACTTTGAAAAAATACCCTTGTTCCTGACACAATGCAAAGCTGAGTCCCTCAGGAGGTGTTGCCCTTTGCTACTGAAATACTCATTTTCTTGTTGCTCTCTTGTAGAATGTGAGCACTTGATCCGCCACATGCTGGTGCTGGACCCAAGTAAGCGACTGTCAATGGAACAGATTTGCAAACACAAGTGGATGAAGCTCGGGGAAGCTGATGCAGAGTTTGACAGGGTGAGCAGGCAGAAAGGCTCTGGTGTGTCTACATGGTGAAAGGGTGTGGGGAATCCAGTATGCGGGCTCTAGGGAGGAGGGCTGAGTACTGGCCCTGCCTGTGCACAGTACTGGCCGTGTGTGCACATTGGAGACCATTAGAGTGGCTCAAAACTAAATTAATGTCCTGTGTTAAGAGTTCACGATTCCCAAGTGCAAGTATGCTGTTATTTCTTTCCCCCCGCAAGGACTCGCTGTCGTCCTTGTCTTAGTGCCCTCTCCTCTCTTGGACTCTAGATCATTCATCATCATTATTTTAGTCTCTGTATCTCTAGGCCATTGGGTTTCTTTGATTGCCCTGCTGATACCATACCTGGAATCCTGGTTTCCAGTTGCATTGGCTATGGGCCATAGCTGGCCCCCAAGATCTCATGCTAGTGTGGAGTGAGATGCTGTTTCTGCTCCTGCTTTGTCCAGGCAGGCCACTGTACCCTCAGTGTTTAGATACTGTGCCGAGCTGCAGCATGGGTCGCGGGCCCTCCAGCTGTAGGCTTGTGGCACTGGTGGTTTATGGCGTGTTCCACCTAGTGAACGTTTGCTGCCCTTGGGGTGCTGAGCACTGACAGTCTTTCTGTGCCCTTACAGTTAATAGCAGAATGTCAGCACCTCAAGATTGAAAGACAGATGGAACCACTGAACGAAGATGTGCTCTTAGCAATGGTGGAGATGGGGCTGGACAAAGAGCGCACGCTACAGGTAACTCGAACCAGCTTGCAAGTGCCTCTGTTATCGGGCTGTCGCCTGCAGCTGGTAAATGTCATGTTGGTGGCTGATCACACCTGCCAGTTAACACTTTCTTCTGCAGAGTGGGTATGGAGAGGAAGGGGATGTATTTTCATTACTAGAAAAAAAAATTGATTTCTTTTTATCCTTCCCTTGCTAGTCACTAAGGACGGATGCCTATGATCACTACAGTGCAATCTATAGCCTGCTCTGTGACCGATTAAAGAGACACAAGAATCTGCGCATTACAGCACCTCCCAGTATGCCACGGACCATGACCTTCCCCACACCAGCTAACATCCAGGTGGGTCTCAGATAGATGGGGTCATTTCATCGCTGCAGGTTTAGTCGTAACTTCCCCCAGCCTTGCAAAGCTCAACCTGGTCAGAGCTTGTTTGTTTAGCTGGGTAAGTAGAATAACTTGAGTTCCTTCATGACCATCCTCACCCTGGTAAGGAGAGAGGAGAAGATTCTTTGCCTGAGTGGTAAGTATTTTCATGTGTGTCCATGTTACTGTTCTCTTGGGGTTTGCAACTTTCTGGCCAACGTGCTGCTGGAGCCTAACCCTGTTTTGCTTTTCATGAAAATGCTCCAATTTCTGCTGTGCAGCATCTGGGAATGCATCTGAGTTTCAATAGCAGGAGTCTGGAAGGGAGCATGGGTGGGAGAGGTGGAGGAAGATGTAGTTGAACCTGGAGTTGGGATCCCTTCTGCAAGTGGCTAATGTGTTCGGAAGAAGGCGATCCCCCCTGAAGAGCGCTGTGCTACCTGGGCTGTTAGTGGCTGACTAGTAGGAAGAGTCACAACCCAAAGGATGTGGCTGCAGATTTTAAAAGGGAAAAGAAACCCCCCAGTTGCTCATTGTTTTGATTCCTTCTGCTTTGCAGGCGGAACAGGCAGGCAACCCCGTGAGTATCAATGTGCCGCAAGTCCAGCTCATCAACCCTGAGAACCAGATCATAGAGGCAAGTTGCTTTCCATTGCTGACTCCTGTGAGCGCCCTTTCTTCATGACACTTTGGGCTTCTGGCACCTGATTTCAAAATCTCTTGTATTTTTCCCCACTCCAGACTGATGGAACAATGAACTTGGACAGTGATGAAGGGGAAGAGCCATCCCCTGAAGCCCTGGTCCGTTATCTCTCAATGAGAAGGCACACTGTTGGAGTCGCAGACCCACGGTTAGTATCCGGCTCTTTCTCCTGAGTAGGAGCAGAGGGACCTGCTCCTGCCTTTTTAAGGGTCCCTCTCCACCCCAACGGCATTCTCTATGAATCCATGGATGATGTTCCTCTGGCTTTCCATGGCCTCTTGGAGGTACCTGAGTACGGGATAGTGCTTTGATTTGGAGGTTGTAAGAAGCTCTTACACCTTTGGGTTGCTCCTGTTGAAAGGTCAGAGGTTTTATATAATCTATTAAAATGATGGATTCATATCTTAATGGGAAAAACACATCAAAACCCCACCCTTCAATATTTAGGAGTGAAATCCCTTTGCTTTCCTGCTCCCGTCATATATAGCTCTGTGGTGAATGGGATGGCAGGGTGGGATTCTTGCTCAAAAGCATGATCTTGGCTGGGTGGGGAAGGGAATCAGGTGCCACTTGAATGGCAGAAATCCATGTCTTTTCACTTGAAAAATCCACTTTCCCAGTGGCCTGTGTGGCAGGCCTCTCCGGCAGGGACACAATTTCCTCTTTATCTCAATGAATCAGTTGCTATTTCTGGCTGGCTTTGCTTAATTGGGGGCCATGTTGGCCAGAGAGGCAAAGGAAGTCGGAAAGCTATGAGCCACTTTATTTTTAATATCTTAGTGTCTAGAGACTAAGTATCATGGTGCCAAGTGCAATTTTATTTTGCATGAATAGTTAGACCTGGAAAATCCCAATTCTGAGAACCTTAAGGGCACATTAAAAATGAAGAACTTGCTACACTTAGGTCCAGGCCCCACTCCTGAGCCAGAGAAATCCACAGTGAAAGCCAGTGAGAAGTAGAGCTGACGGTAGCAAGCATGTAGATTGGTTTGCTTGGCTTATTTCTAAGTCCCATGTTTCTGAATGTGATTGCTCAGCACGGAAGTGATGGAAGATCTCCAGAAGCTCCTGCCAGGCTTCCCTCGTGTCACTCCCCAGGCTCCATTCCTGCAGGTGGCTCCAAACATGAACTTCATGCACAATATGCTGCCTATGCAGAACCTGCAGCCAACTGGACAGCTGGAGTACAAGGTACCATCCGCTGTGTATACTCCACAACTGGAGCCAGTGCTACGTGGAGATATAGGCTGCAGCTCTTGGAGAATCCCCGAGTCTGCTCCATAGGTTTAATGATCGATTTGATCGCTGAGGCTGGACCTTAGTTCTATTTGATGTCGCTTACCGCCTGGGATTGTCTCTCTTGTAGTTCTGAGTAAAAACAAACACCCCACAACTTGAAATTCAGAAACTTGTTTGATGGGGCGGGGGAGATCAGTGATCTTAGTAGCAAATCAGACCGGGGACCTTGGTTTCCAAGCGTGTGAAACCCAGAGGCCCAGCCTGCCTTATGGCTGAAGCTCAGGGCTGTAAGTTGGAAGATCTGGGTTCTACTCCCAGCTCTGCCACTGACGGAGAGAGTTCGGGCAGGTCATTCCACCACTCTGCTTCAGTTTCCCCAGGAGTAAGGTGTTGAAGATCCTTCGCCTCACCCAAGGCCAGTTAGGCTGTTCCCTTGGTATTTATACAGTGCTCTAAGATCCTCCAGGAGGCACTAGAGGAGGAGGAATATTCGGTGATAACTCCTCTGTGTTCTTCCTAGGAGCAGTCCTTGCTGCAGCCCCCCACTCTGCAGTTGTTGAATGGAATGGGCCCTCTAGGGCGGCGGGCTTCAGACGGTGGAGCCAACATCCAGCTGCACGCACAACAACTGCTGAAGCGTCCTCGAGGCCCTTCCCCGCTCGTCACTATGACTCCAGTAAGTAGCAACAGAAGAACAGAGTTGGTGGCATGTTTACAAACACGTCCTCTTGCTGGCAGAGCTGGCAGTGAAAGCTGGGGTTTGGAGTGGCGTGTGCAAAAGAACCGCAGAGGCGGACAGGGAATGAAATGTCAGTTTCCCAGCATTGGCAGGGACTCGCCACCTGCCATTTGCTTTAGCTTTCCCTCCCTCGGGAGGTTCATCCTACAATAATGTTCCGTTTTGGGAGCGTTTTCTCACCGTTTTCCTTGGCCCTCTCTACCCACCTGCTCTCCAGAGGCAAAGCTGAAGCAGGATTCAAAGGAACCTTTTAAAACAGATGGTGGCTTCACTGCCAGTATCAGCAAATTCCTGGCCATGCTGTCGCTGGTGTCATCTCCTCGGTGCAGCGTATAGAAGGGCTGGTAGCCTCCCTCTCCCACGATGCCTGTGGTCCTGGAACTTAAACTACTTTGGCCCTTCAGTTACCACGTGCATCACAAGCACCTCTCCTTTCCTGGCAACCCTTCCCTATCTCACAAGATCCTTGGACACTGCTGCTTGCCTAGCATCTGGCTTTTGGTCTCCTCCTTCGTGACACTGCTTCCAGGGAGACCCATGTTCAGAATTGGCATGCCTGGCTGTCTGGCTTTAGCCCCTATCTGAGCAGTGCTGACCATTGGGGGCACATGTGTTCCTCAAGCCAGCCCCCCATTTGATTGTCTGCTTCCCACTGGAAGTGTCTGTGTCTGGGGAGTAGCTGTATGTTTCCAAGATTAATGTTCTGTTTACTGTCTAGGTTTCTAATCTTTGTTCCTTTTTGTTGTCTTGGGATCTTCCTGGGGTTGTCAGCTGGAATCTGCCCAGTTGAGTATCTTTCTCCTTCCATTAATGACCTGCACAAACTTGCTAGCACTAGAGGCCAGGCGTCTTGCTGCTGTGAGGAATGTGACCTGCTGACGGGCCTTTTATTTCTCATTTATTAGTAGCAATTTAAATATTTCTCTTCAGAAGTGCTGAGAAGAGCATGATGTTTGTAACTCTCTCGCTAAGGTTTCTCTGCCACTCTCTTGCTTTATTTATCAGAGAAAGGAAAATCTGCCAGTGTTAATCTCCAGGGTGTTAATGTGGGCAGTGCTTCCCCCTGGAGGTATGTGTATTACTGAATTTCCTGCTAGCACCAAAAGAAGCTGCCCCTATATAGGTTGCACTGTGTAAGGGTGAGATGGTGAGGGTGTGTTTTTTGGAGGAGGATTCTGAGTGCCCCCAAATGTCTGGTCCTTAATTGTTCTTCTAGAAGGTCAGGTTTCTGCAGCCCAAGATAGTGTTGAATAAGCCACCTTCTGGAGCCCATGGTTCCCCTTTCCTCTCTCCTCAGGCAGTGCCAGCAGTTACCCCTGTGGATGAGGAGAGCTCCGATGGGGAGCCGGATCAGGAAGCTGTGCAGAGGTAACATCCCATCTGTTGGCCTTTCCCCTTGTGCTGTTGGAGAGGCTCACCCTATGGTGCCCTAAAGCTGATCTAAAAAACCCAACAAATCAACCTCGTCCCAAGCTGCAGGTGTTGATTTATGGTGAAGGTTTCAACTTTTCCTTTATGGGTGCCTGTTTACGCCAGGCAATTACTCTACCTGACACTAACAGGCAAATGAATAACTTTGTAAAATAACCTGACAGCATCTGAAATTCTGCAGGCTGTCTGAGCAATAGGTTATCCAGAAACTCTGAGCACTAAACTCCTTTGCTTAGGGTGTACCAGCATGCAAACCAAACTAACCTGCATAGTGAGTGCTAAGACACTGCACCCTCCCTCATCCCTGCTGAGTGACTGGGGAAGTGGTCTCATTTTGTCTGTGCAGCTTTTGGACCGAGACCTGCAGTAAACATCCAACTCTGATGCCTTGAAGTGAGTTTGATAAAAACTTGGGTATCTATAGTCATTTAGATTTCTAGCCATAGCAGTAGGTCCCGAAACAGTCTGCTCCGACACGTGAGAGGTGGTCCAATATCGACTCTGAAACGTCACTTCTCTCCCCAGCCAAAATACGTTCCGGGGTTCTTCCTCCAGCCGAAAACACGAACACTGTCCTTGCCAATACTTGCAGAGCAGTTTTTGTGTAGCTACTTTTTCTGCTAAGCAGCTGGTGCAGATGATCCTCCTTATTAAGTTCCATGGATTTTTCCCAGTCCTGGTGGGCAGGAACTTGACGAGAACAGGCTCTCTCTCAGCTGTTACGGATATTGTCCTTCCAAGAAAGAGGCAAATAACTGCCGGGTGGGCAGCAGGCAGGTATAGAGGTGAGGGAGTTGCTGCTAAAGCCATTTAATTCCCCATAATATTCCTAAAGCCCTTGTAAACTCCACTGGTCGGTCTCAGTGCTGTAAAACAGAAGGGTTCTAATGGCAATGGGAAGTTGGGTACAACAGTGGCTTGTCCAGGGCATGTGCCAAGATTCCCTTGTCTACTTGGCCTTAGAAAACAGCCAAACATAGTACACATTAAAGAATGCCCTGTGCTTCCAGTGGCTAGGAGTCTACACATTCTGGGTAGCCGAAGTGTGGCCCAAGGAGCTATACAGTGCCACCCATGGTCATTCTCATCTTCATTATGGAGGCGTGGCCCGCGGACACTGCAGGCCCCAGCATGCCATGCTCTAGCTTGACGAAGAAGACTGGCCTTCAGTCCATGCTGAAGGTTGTATCGTGGCGTCAGAACTCTCCCGGGATGGCACTGCTCAAATCTGGGACCTGCAGTCTCCATGGGACACTGCTCCAAACTGGAAAGCTGAACAAACCTGCAGAGTTTTCCATTTTGGACAAATAAGATGCAGCCCTGTGGCTCTTGGCAAATTGCCAATGTGTCCTCATCTGGCCAAGCTTAAGGTGCTTTTAAAATCTCTGCTTCCAGCTGAACCCTTTAAGGTTCCGAGAGTCAGGCTTGGCAGGTAGGGTTTTGAGACCAAGGGTAAAACTTCCAAAAATGTATGCAGGACTTAGGAACCCAAGTCTCACTGTAAGTGGGATGCAGTTTCTGAGGTACCTAAGTCACCTTTGAAAATGGGGCTTAGCTACTTTTGAAAATATTACCCCCAAATCCTCCTTGTGTGCGCTTACGCCACATTCTTCATAGCCGCTGGACGGGACCAAGCTTAAACTGTGCTAATGAGTGCCCATTAACCCTCCATCTCCCCACCCTCTTACGCTGTGACATGCCACTAATCACCAGTAGAAGAGTAAACAGTATTAACACCAGGGACAGAAGCTAATATTTATCTTTTCAGAACACTGGTTTGAATGCCCTCTGCAATGACCGCAGAGCAACTTTTGCCCTTGTTTGTTTTAGATTGCCTGACCTTGAAATAGTGTGCATTCCATTCCCCATGCCCAGGGCACAATCGCATCTCTTCAGAGCTTGCAAAACGTTATTTTCCACCCAAACAGTTGCAGTTCATGAGTGGATTGTTCCCTGGAGCCATGAAATAAAGTGACTGTAGCAAACCACAATTGTGAAGCTCTTTGGGAAACTCTCCTTGTCTCCATCAAATGGATCTCAAACATTTAATGGCTCAGATTTTGGCAAGTCACCACACCACTAAGTATTCTTCATTCTGTTAACTTGCTGCTTTTTGTGTCAATGGATAATGCTTTTTGCAGAGCCATAGTTTTAGGTGCTGCTGTTTCCCCTACTGTACAGGTTTTAGTTACAGACACAAAAAAGAAATCAACTCAAAGTATTTGTAACCCCCATTTTACCCTCTAGCTTTGTGTAGGCCAGGAATCTTTGTAGCCATAACTCATCACCAGAGCAGCTTCACCTGCGTTAGCAATGGTGGGAGGGTTAGTCTAGTCCAGGTACAGGCATTGATTCCACTCTGTCCTCAAACCTTGTCAGCATTTCCACCATTGCTAGCACCTGAGAGCGCTGCCTGCCCAAGAGTGAAGAATATCCAAGGATAGCTACATCCTTTGCCATCTCGCTGAATCAGGCCCTTCCTGCCTTAGCGTCCAACACAAACACAAAGGGAACAATAGGGCTAAAAATCCCCAAACCAGCCCTGAACTTGTCTACAGCCGAAAGTGGAAGCGCTTAGACAGCCGGGGCTCCTGCTCCAGGAAGGGAATGGGCTGAATTAGCTCCTCACTTTCCCTCGCCATTTTTGCTTTAGGCATCGTTGGTGCAGCCTCCGTACATTGATTCCCAGACTCTGCTCGAAGTGTCCAAGAGTGGGGACTAGATGGCGCACTCACACACATGCTGTTCCTCCCTCAGAACCTACATTCAGATCTGGGTTAGATCACACACACAGTGCAAAGAGCAGGCCACAGCTAATCTCCAGCAGTGGTAGCAATGTCGTAAATGCATCATCTGATGTGGGACCATTCGACGTGCTGATCTCTGCTCAGACTCCAGACTGAGAACGTCGCAGGTGAGGACTGAAGTGCGCAGGCTGAGCCAAGCAGGGAAACGTGCACAGCATCTGTCTGCACTGTGCTGAGCTCTCTGGCCAAATGCTGTAAGCGTTACTCACGCAAACAGTCCCATGGGCATAGTGCATATTACGTAAGGCAGACAGTGCTATTACCCTTCAGACTAGCACCACTTTAGGGGAAAGAATCCCTACAGAAACTAACTAGTCACTGGAGCTAGATCTAAATGAATGTGCTTGAGAATTCCCCATGAGATGAAGTAGAGCTTTTCTCCTGAGATGATTGGCCATTCTGTTTCTTACCAAGTTTGGCATTGGAATAAAGCTGGCTATGACTTCAGTCCTCTGCTAAGCAGTTAACGTCCCTTTAACCTGACAGGCATTGGCAGTACGGTTTGCTCTTTCATGGGTGTTCTACAACTCACAGCAGGCTCTGAACACTGCAGCGAGCATTTTTCTTTCCTAATTACTCTGGATTATCTGCTTCTGCTCCCTTCTCTTGGAGTATTCCCATCAGTCTCTTCCATTTATAAAATGTGCTCCTGCTTGTTGCAGATACTTGGCAAATAGGTCAAAAAGGCACACTCTGGCAATGACCAACCCTACAGCTGAAATCCCTCCAGACTTGCAGAGGCAGCTAGGACAGCAGTCTTTTCGATCCCGGGCTTGGGCTCCACACCTGGTACCCGATCAGCACCGGTGAGTAATGGCACCGGCCGTTCGGGCAGCTCTGTGCCAGGGAACCCGCTCAGATGTCATCTGAATGGAGTGCAGAAAAAATCCAGCTTGGCATAAAGGGGTTAAAAGAAGAAAGGAGCAGACCCCAAAGCAGAAGCTGGCTGGCCCTGTTGGACATGCTTCATTTCTGAGCAGATATAGGCTCCTCACCTGCTAAGTGCATGGCGCATTCACGGGCAGGGATCAGTTGGCTCTTCCCCTCCAGTCCCACTTCTGTGGCTGGAGATGATTTGCCAGGATGGCTGCCTTAGCCCTGGGGCTGGGATTAAGATTAAGCGATCCAGATTAGTGGAAAGATTTGTTAATGTACTAGTAGGCTCAACCCTGTAGTGAGTAGTAAATCTGCGATGGAATATTCAGTAGTGGAATGCTGTATGAAAGGCTGCACCACGAGTAAACTATACGTAGGTTTAGAAACCTCACTGCACCAGAGTTGTGTGTTTCCACTGCAGAATCTCCATGCAAAGCTCCCTGTTTGTCATTTTGTTTCTAATCCAATCCTCTGGTGGAGAGGGTTGGGGGAGAACAATTATAACTTTTGTGACTGAGGGAACTGCTGCAAAACTGGATCCAAGTGAGCTAAAATTCTGGAGGAAGGGCCCTCCTGACTTTGAGAACTATTAATTCTACAGAGTCCTTCAATGCTGCAGCAAACTTGATGCTACTGCCACAGACACCCCTGCACCTCGACCCCAAAGCACTGAGGGGGTGACACACATGTGAGCGGTCGAGCTCGTTTCTCTTTGGTCTCAGTTGCTGAACAATTGAGAAAGCAGTTACCTAGAAGACCAGATTTGTGCTCATGTTAAGTCCTCTCACCAGCTCTCCCTGGCAAGCTTGTCACAGCGCTCTTTACTGCGGCCAGATCCCTGCTGAGTTGAGCGTTGGTGGAATCAGCAGAGACAGGCGAACGCTGAGCAGACTGAGTCAGCACTGGTGCCATGCTGGAGCATAACCCTTGACTTCTCCTGGGTAGAAAGAGAGGCGGGAGAGGAGGAGTAAGATTTCCTGGGTCACAGAGCTCGTTATAGGAAGAGAAGAAAAACAGTTGCAAATTAAATAAACAGAAAATATTGTACGTCCTGCTTCCAGGGTCACTTCAGAATGGAGGTTTAAATGAAGCCATTGAGGTATTGTTATAAGGCTCTTTAGACCAAGCCCACCCTGCCCCCTCTGGCTCTCATCATGTGTCTGCTCCTCTGTTTTTACATGCACAGGATAGCATTGGCTCATTCCAGATTCACAATTTTACATGTCGCAGCAGAGGCCTGTAAGCCTGTGGAACTACAGACATGCCTGAGATCAAAAGAGAGGAACTTGAAAATCAAATCTGGCCCCAGACCAAGCGCCTGGAAGTCTCTGTACACCTCAGACATAGCTAGCGGAAGGCTGTGTCTTGTAGTGTGGCAAAACCTGCAGTAAACCACAAAGTACTGGCTCGTGGACAGCTGTCAGCTTTTATTCTGGTGCTTAACTTAGTCTGTTTGAAACTGGTTTGTACTTAAAAAGGTCTCAAAATACGTTAGTCTAGAAAGCCAGTCTGGAGCCAGGGGCAGTGTGACTGTGCATCATCCTAGCATGCTTGGGAGCCTGATGCACAATGCTCACTTTCCTCGTTTGCTTCTGCTGCCCATTACGGAGTTGGAAGGTCAGATGGACAGGTTGGCTTGCTGACTGGCAGAAAGGGAACATGGGAGCCAGCCACTTCTAGCCTTAGTTGGAACATATTTCAAATTGTAATTAATTAAAATAAGTTTTACCAAGCAGGGCTGAATATGTGAAAATAACTGGAACTAACATCCTGGAAATGTTGCAACATGAATGAGAATCTTACTCCTGCAAGGGGTAGCTTCTCCAGCAGAGATTCAGTTTTGTCTTTCAGAGCAGGCTTCAACAGAGACCTCTGTACATACATAAAATATTTAAAGTACCAATTGTCTGTCTAACGTAATTCAGTTTGAAGCACTACTATAGACCGCCGGGATCCAATGTGGATATGAATAGAGCCCTTTTTCATGTTTTTAATAAAGTAAATACTAATGGAAACTGCGTGATCGTGGGAGACTTTAACTTCCCAGATATAGACTGGAGGACGAGTGCTAGTCATAATAATAGGGCTAGGATTTTCCGAGATGCGATAGCTGATGCATTCCTTCATCAAGTAGTTGCTCAACCGACTAGAGGGGATGCCATTTTAGATTTTGTTTTGGTGAATAGTGAGGACCTCATAGAAGAAATGGTTGTAGGGGACAATCTTGGTTCAAGTGATCATGAGCTAATTCAGTTCAAACAGAACAGAAGGATTAACAAAAATAAATCTGCGACTAGAGTTTTTGATTTCAAAAGGGCTGACTTTCAAAAGTTAAGGAAATTAGTTAGGGAAGTGGATTGGACTGAAGAACTTATGGATCTAAAGGCAGAGAAGGCCTGGGATTACTTTAAATCAAAGCTGCAGAAGCTATCGGAAGCCTGCATCCCAAGAAAGGGGAAAAAATTCATAGTCAGGAGTTGTAGACCAAGCTGGATGAGCAAGCATCTCAGAGAGGTGATTAAGAAAAAGCAGAAAGCCTACAGGGAGTGGAAGATGGGAGGGATCGGCAAGGAAAGCTACCTTATTGAGGTCAGAACATGAAGGGATAAAGTGAGACAGGCTAAAAGTCAAGTAGAGTTGGACCTTGCAAAGGGAATTAAAACCAATAGTAAAAGGTTCTGTAGCCATATAAATAAGAAGAAAACAAAGAAGAATAAGTGTAACTGCTAAACACTGAGGATGGAGTGGAGGCTAAGGATAATCTAGGCATGGCCCAATATCTAAACAAATACTTTGCCTCAGTCTTTAATAAGGCTCATGAGGATCTTAGGGATAATGGTAGCATGACAAATGGGAATGAGGATATGGAGGTAGATATTACCATATCTGAGGTAGAAGCGAAACTCGAACAGCTTAATGGGACTAAATTGGGGGGCCCAGATAATCTTCATCCAAGAATATTAAAGGAATTGGCACCCGAAATTGCAAGCCCATTAGCAAGAATTTTTAATGAATCTGTAAACTCGGCGGTTGTACCATATGACTGGAGAATTGCTAACATAGTTCCTATTTTTAAGAAAGGGAAAAAAAGTGATCCGGGTAACTACAGACCTGTTAGTTTGACATCTGTAGTATGCAAGGTCTTGGAAAAAAAGTTTGAAGGAGAAAGTAGTTAAGGACATTGAAGTCAATGGTAAATGGGACAAAATACAACATGGTTTTACAAAAAGTAGATCGTGCCAAACCAACCTGATCTCCTTCTTTGAGAAAGTAACAGATTTTTTAGACAAAGGAAACCTAGATTTCAGGAAGGCGTTTGATACTGTGCCACATGGGGAATTATTAGTTAAATTGGAAAAGATGGGGATCAATATGAAAATGGAAAGGTGGATAAGGAATTGGTTAAAGGGGAGACTACAACGGGTCCTACTGAAAGGTGAACTGTCAGGCTGGGGGGAGGTTACCAGTGGAGTTCCTCAAGGATCAGTTTGGGGACTAATCTTATTTAATCTTTTTATTACTGACCTTGGCACAAAAAGTGGGTGTGCGCGAATAAAGTTTGCGGATGATACAAAGCTGGGAGGTATTGCCAATTTAGAGAAGGACCGGGATATCCTACAGGAGGATCTGGATGACCTTGTAAACTGGAGTAATAGTAATAGGATGAAATTTAATAGTGAGAAGTGTAAGGTCATGCATTTAGGGATTAATAACAAGAATTTTAGTTATAAACTGGGGACGCATCAATTAGAAGTAACGGAGGAGAAGGACCTTGGAGTATTGGTTGATCATAGGATGACTATGAGCCGCCCAATGTGATGTGGCCGTGAAAAAAGCTAATGCGGTCTTGGGATGCATCAGGCGAGGTATTTCCAGTCGAGATAAGGAGGTGTTAGTACCGTTATACAGGGCACTGGTGAGACCTCACCTGGAATACTGTGTGCAGTTCTGGTCTCCCATGTTTAAGAAGGATGAATTCAAACTGGAACAGGTACAGAGAAGGGCTACTAGGATGATCCGAGAAATGGAAAACCTGTCTTACGAAAGGAGACTCAAGGAGCTTGGCTTGTTTCGCCTAACGAAAAGAAGGTTGAGGGGAGATAGGATTGCTTTCTATAAATATATCAGAGGGATAAATACCGGAGAGGAAGAGGAATTATTTAAGCTCAGTACCAACGTGAACACAAGAACAAATGGATATAAACTGGTCATCGGGAAGTTTAGACTAGAAATTAGACGAGGGTTTCTAATCATCAGAGGAGTGAAGTTTTGGAATAGCCTTCCGAGGGAAGCAGTGGGGGCCAAAGATCTATCTGGCTTTAAGATTAAACTCAGTAAGTTTATGGAGGAGATGGTATGATGGGATAATATGATTTTGGTAATTAATTGATCTTTAAATATTCATGGTAAATAGGCCTAATGGCCTGTGATGGGATGTTAGATGGGGTGGGATCTGAGTTACCCAGGAAAGAATTTTCTGTAGTATCTGGCTGATGAATCTTGCCCATATGCTCAGGGTTTAGCCGATCGCCATATTTGGGGTCGGGAAGGAATTTTCCTCCAGGGCAGATTGGAAGAGGCCCTGGAGGTTTTTTGCCTTCCTCTGTAGCATGGGGCACGGGTCACTTGCTGGAGGATTCTCTGCTCCTTGAAGTCTTTAAACCACGATTTGAGGACTTCAATAGCTCAGATATAGGTGAGAGGTTTTTTGCAGGAGTGGGTGGGTGAGATTCTGTGGCCTGCGTTGTGCAGGAGGTCGGACTAGATGATCATAATGATCCCTTCTGACCTTAGTATCTATGAATCTATATGGAGCTAGATTATCTTCTGTTTTGTTTTACAACCAAACCATCCTCAGGGATGCTCTAAAGACTTGTTCCCTAAGGGCCTTTCACAGACAAAGACCGTTGCTCCAGCCATGGTGTTGTCCGCTCATTTTCTGTCTGGATTGAATTGGTACAAAGCTAAACCCATCTGGGCAGAGAAGCTAACTGGGTCCTCACATGTTAGTTTTTGCTTTTGGGTGGAGAGAGAGCAGTGTTTTGTAATACTCTTAAAGAGGTACTCTTGAGGATGCGTGTGCTTGGGTTTGACTCATATATGGGAACCCAGATTGAAAGGGAAGTTTGTTCCTGGAAAAACGTCTTCTGACCTCCAGTTCTGGAAGGGAACTGAGAGGGAACTGTCATAAGTTCCTCTACAACCATTTGCCCTGGTACTAGGCTTGGTCCATTTATTCTCTGATGCGTGTCTCATGATGGCATGGCACCAAACATTTAGGCTGCTGGTTGACTCTGCATTCAAGGTGATGGGATGGGTGGGGAAGAATCTGAAACAAGACAGCCCCTAGCAGTGAAAGAGGGTTCCCTCTCTGTGCAAAGTCATCACATTTCTTCCCCCCCCTCTCCCCCCACCACCACTGGGTTTAGTGCCTTTCTGAATGCGGATGCCAGCCTCTGCTCTGGCTCAGAGTGGCTACAGGATAGACCCTTTCCTGCCCTTGCGGTGTTAATCTTATACACCCCCACCCACTGGTACTGTGACACGGCAGGTTTTATCTGCGCGTACTGGAGACTTAAAAGTGTTTTAAAAACTTTTTTGTTTTGCCATTATTGGTTTTATCTTGAGGCCCCCCTACAAGTGCAGCTTCCTTGTTTGACCCCCGTCCCCCAAGTCCATCCCTATGTAGTCACATGAGGTGTAGCATTTGGTAGAATACGTTCAGATCAAAATTCCCTCATCTTCAAGGCCCGATGTATGTTAGTGCTTGGAATAAACCAGTCTGACAGGTTCACTAGCATGTGTCATCTAGGAAGCCGAAGATCCTGGAAGCCTGTGTGTGTGCTGAGAGAGGGCAGGTCTTGCTGCAAGGTGGTGGTCTAAGCTTTTTTGGCATTCGAATGGGAAGCCTCCATTCCGCACACATGTCAGGGTTACTGGTGCCCCTTTTGATGCACCAATTAGTATTTTCCAGTTTTCCTTCTTTCCCAGGTATCCATGGGATATCCTTGCCTTCTCTCAGTGAAGTCTCTCTCTAAGTGTACCTGCAAATAAAGCATCTGGGTTAGGAATGGGGGTGAGGTTGTTATGCTGGTCCTGCTTCTGGGCTTGTTTCAATTAGAATTCCTAAGGTGCTGGCCCACTGTATTTTAGAGTTAGACTCAGCAGGCAAGCTCCAGCTGAGCTTTTTAAGGTCTCCTCTTAGAGAACAGGCCTTGCCATAGAGAGACAACTGTTCCTAGCAGCAGAATCGCCTTGTCTAAGGCAGCAGCATTCCTGATGGGCTCCTCCTTCACCAATTCAGATAGATGAACATGCAACAATTTTTCTTAGCACAAAGTATTCCCATCCCACTGGAATATAGGGACGCTCCAGTTTAGCAAAATGTCACCGTGTAAACTCTGAGGCACGGTGAATGAAAACGGCTCTCGGATGGAGAAACGCCTTTCCGTTCTTAGCTGTTGAATGGTTTCTGCAGGTCGGTGGAACCAAGTGCCAGGCCAAGTCATATGGTCAGTTACAGACTGGTGCCCCAGTTATAATCTAGTTAGGATATAAATCAGACTGGCAAAATTTTAGAGAAAATATACCTACCCCAGCACCAAATGGACTTGCTAATCCTGTACCCTGCTGGTGATGAATAAACTAATGGCACTTTACTTCTCACTCTGAAACAGAACTTCTGGGCAGGCAGAACTTGGTAGAGCTGATGTAAATGAAATGTCTCTGTAGCTGAGTTTGTTTTTCAGCTGACATCACTAACCTACTAAACTACTTCCCCATGTGTTTAGCTCCGTTTACAAGGACTCAAACACCCTGCATCTCCCCACTGAGCGCTTCTCTCCTGTTCGCCGCTTTTCCGACGGTGCTGCCAGCATCCAGGCGTTCAAAGCCCACCTGGAGAAAATGGGCAATAACAGCAGCATCAAACAGCTTCAGCAGGTAAAGGAAGGAAGCGGGATGCAGTGGATCAGGTTAGATCACTGACTTACTGGCAGAGGAAACAAAGGAGGAAACCTTTCCTACTGCATTGTCTCCTGGATCCAAACATTCTTCAGAGCTGCAGCTGGGAAGCTTATCCTCCCCCTTCTGTGTATTTGAGTGTGCTTTGTAGAATTGCCATCATCCTCTTTATCTCTGCTGCAGCCTTGGGGGCTTCCCCCTTTTCTGGGGACTTGACATATCACTATAGAAACACGCACAAGGTCCGAGAAGTCAGGCTCAAGTGAGGAATGTGGGCCCTGATACCTGTGCTCCCTAGACACTGTCTCTGAGTTTCTTCCCAAGACTTGCACACAATGAAATCAGTCCCCAGAATCCCATTTCAAAGTTGACATGGTTGGTTCTTGGTCCTGGCCTCCTTGTTTAATTGGTTTGAATGACAAACCGTGGTGCTGCACAGAGTAACCAGACTGAAGAACACTCTTGAAAATCCTCTTAGCCACTCCAGCTAAAAGCCACTGGTGCCTTCACCAGTTTTTAATGGCAGTGAAGTTCCATCGCCGTCCCATAGCATGCCATGCAACATTCATTGAAAGGCCATTTTGCTCTGCTGTGGCATAAATTGCATAGTCCTCTCTTTGACCTCAGTCGGAGTCTTGTAGTTGATTTCAGTTGGAGCTGGATCGGGCCCTGAGAGAGGAATTTCCCTGTGCAGCACAGCAGGAGCACGAGATGCTAATTTAATCTTGGGGTTTTCATGTCTGATGCTTTTCACTTGCATTCCTTGCAGTTGCAGTGTAAGAAGACTAAATAGCCCATGAATTTAGTTCCATGAGCATCTATTTCTTTCTCACTGTAGGAGAGAGCTGGAATGACCCTGGTATTAGGCACACACATGCTGCTAAGTACATGGATTAGGATTTCTATCCTGCAGTTTCTTCTTTTTCTCTGGCTCTTTCAGCCAAGGAGACTGCAGAGTGAAAGCCGTTTTGCACAGCAGGGTTGCTGGGCAGGAAGAGATCACGTTGTGGGTGTATTGCATTCATTACAGGAGTGTGAGCAACTGCAGAAGATGTACGGTGGGCATATGGACGAGAGAACGCTGGAGAAGACACAGCAGCAACACATGTTGTACCAGCAGGAGCAGCATCATCAAATTCTCCATCAGCAGATTCAGGTACTGGAACTGGGACCATGGTCCCTGAACCCTAACCAGGTTTTCCTGCAGTGTCACAGGTAGAGGTATTGAATGGCCCCGTGGGACTAGGGAGGAAAACTGCTGTATATGTGGCAAGTTAGATTGCTCGACCTGCTGTAATGAGGAACAAGGGGGAAGGCTTTTCATAAACAATGCATGTACAGCTGGTAGGATAGTGAGAGCTTCTGTCTCAGGTTGATTAATTTATTGGTCCAAACTCTCTCAATCCAGATGGAACTGACTAATTGCAAATAACTTTTTGTTCCCCTCCTTTCTGGTGCCTGGCTCAGGATTGTATTCGCCCACCTCAGCCATCTCCACCCTTGCAAGCTCCTTGTGAAAACCAGCCAGCTCTGCTCACCCACCAGCTGCAGAGGTAAAGAAAGGGGTGTGCTTTGGCAAAGTGCTGTTGGGGGGGAAAGAGGGGGGAGAGGGTGAAGCTGTCACTCAGTGATGCACTGGGGCCTGTCCCAGAGCCAGCTGGGAGCATATAACCTTAGAGAACTGGTCCTCATTCCTAGAGGCCTGTGCAGGCTGCAGCTGGAGCTGTTGGAGCACATGTCTCTGGCAATCAGGCTCTTAACATTTCTGACCGAGAGAACCTTGAAAGTAACCTGATGACACAACATTGTTTTAAATTGACACGGAACAGCTGCTTGTTGGCCAACTTGAAAACAAATGCTTTTCAATAATAGCATGAGCACTTTCTCTAGCACCTTGTATGCCAAGCCATTTATAAACACTCTTTAGACCCTTCCCCATCCCCTCTGTTGGCTAGCAAATATCATCCCATTTTACAGATGAGGAAGACTGAGGCAGAGTGGGAGAGTCTTGCCATAGGTCATGGTGAGTCAGGAATAGAATTCAGGATTCCTGAGTCCCAGGCTTGTGCACTAACCACTGGGCAATACTCCCTTATCCAGATAGCTAATGAAGATAAAATAGAAATTATGTTGCAAAGCCTTTAAGATTCTAAAGGAGTTTTTTTTATATTTATTTGGTTTTTTTTAAAAGCATTTAGAGTTCAGTTCTAAAACTTGAACAAGCGTCTTTATCAGGAAGAGTGATTTACGAAGGTGCTTATTTTCTTGTGTAGGTTACGGATTCAGCCATCTAGTCCACCCCCAAACCACCCTAATAATCATCTCTTCAGGCAGCCAAATAGCAGCCCCCCTCCTGTGAATAGCAGCATGCTACAGACTCATGGTAAGCACTGAGTATACCAAGCCATCTGTCATCCTATTGTGCAGGCCACTTGTCAGAACCTTATGGTTTTAAAGCACTTGGGAAAACAGTTCATGTCTTTTCCAAATTCTAGTGCCTGGCGCAGATAGCCAATGTAAAAGATTCTCCATCTGGCACAAGGGACTGGTGTTATCTGAATACTTGCAGTGGATCTTGCCAGCTGGAATATGTTGTTATATTTCATGTCCTGAGATCCTTGTGTATAATTTCTGAGGGCGGGGAGGAGGGATATTGTTCTCTGATTATGCAAATAACTTTACACTGGTATTGTTTCTTTTGCCTTGCAAGTATTTCTAGTTGTGGCTGTAGTATGATGAAGTTTTAGCTCCGAATAGTCAGGAAAGGCGCACACCTCATCACCTACTGAAATGCAGCTTGGTTCTGAAAATCTTTCTTCTGGCCCTGATAGCGTCAGACGCTATATCTGTTAAACAGAACATGCTCTCAAGTCTTGCAATAGCTCAGTGCAGTTACTCAAAGGGATTGTTCTTCGTAGGTGCAGCGTCTCAGTCCCAGTTCCAAGGGATGCCTTCCCACAGTGCGATCTTCCAGCAGTCTGGTAACTGTTCCCCGCCCCCGAACGTGGCACTGACATGCATGGGCATGCCGCAGCCATCGCAGCCGCAGCAGGTCACCATCCAAGTGCAAGAGCCCGGAGATATGCTCAGCAACAACCTTCTGCAAGGGGCAGCTGTGGCAGGGCAGGGCATGTCCTCTCATCCACGAGGCATGTCCATCAACCCGAGTGCCAATCAGATCCAAATGCAGCATCGAGCTAACCTGATGGCCTCTCTCACATATGGTCACAGGCCACTGTCCAAGCAGCTCAGTGCTGATAGTGCAGAGTCACACAGGTAAGGCCATTCTCCAACTGCTCTGCTAACCTGGGGAGGCGCTGAGGGGAGAAGGGAGGAGAAAAGAAACCGGGCCAGTCAGAGTACTTTCACCATGGCTCCGTGCGCCGAGGCTGTCTCTGTCTCCTGAGCACAGCTCTCGCTGCCAGCAGCAGGCCTTGCACTGGTCATGCTATGGACTTAGCTGTGATCCTAGTCCAAACCCTTAGACTTCAGGGCTTTGTTAGTGGGATGGGTGCTCTGACAGCCGGGGGTGAGGATTGTGTGAAGTCAGCACAACTCCTGAGCCATGCGGGATAGGAAGCCAGCTTTCTCTCTAGGAACACAGGTTGCTGCTCAAGTAGAGTCTTATGCTTTAGTAAGAGGGGAGAAATAAAAAAGTACAGAGACTGTTTCTAATTCCCCTTTGTGCCTGGTCTGGTCGGAGCCTACACTAGCTTCAAGAGCTCCGACAGACGTGCTCTGCCTCTCACAACACCTTCTTCCCCATCTGCCTTCCCCCAGCTCTCTCCAGAGACTTCAGCCATTCCTTCTTACCTGGCCCTGCGGAGTCATTGATGACCTGGGGCATGTGCTCTTCTTCAGGGTCTGAGTGCATTGTCTCTGCCGCTCTCCCAGAAAGAGCTGCTGGGTGACAAACCTTGGTCCCCTCTGCTCCACTCCAGCTAGGCCCTCAAGCCACCACCCTGCGCGTGTGCAGCCTGCTGGAGTTGGCTGGGAGATTGTGCAGAGCGCCTGAGTGGTGGTGGCCTCCTCTGCGTTCCTGGCTTTACTCTTGGCTGCTGCAACACAATCGCTGTTGTTTCTTCCTTGCAGCTTGAACATGAACAGGTATCCCCCTGCTAACTATGACCAGGTGCACTTACATCCCCACCTGTTCTCAGATCAGGCCCGTGCATCCCCCAGCAACTACAGCCCATCAGCAGGGGTGGGATTCCCCGCAACGCAGCAAGCCCTGAAAGTCCCTCAACTTGACCCGTTCCCCAGCTTCCCTCAAAGTGCGCCGCAGCCGCAGCCCTACACGGCATCAGCACTACAGCAGGCGCTGCTGTCCCCAACTCCGCCGGATTACAGCCGACACCAGCAGGTACCGCACATCCTCCAAGGACTGCTTTCCCCCCGGCACTCGCTCACGGGGCCCACGGACGTGCGACTGCCCCCGGCAGAATTTGCACAGCTCATCAAACGGCGGCAGCAGCAGCAAGAATTTCAAGAATTGTTCCGGCATATGAGCCAAGGAGATGCTGGGAACATGGGCACCAGCGTGGGACAGAACCTATCAGAGCGTCAGTCGCTGTCTGTGCCTTATCCGAATGCTGACACGTACCATCACAGCAGCCCTCAACATCTCCTAAAAATCAGGGCACAAGAATGTATCCAGCAGGTATCTGCGGCTGCGGCACCCCATGGGTATGCACACCAGCCAGCTCTGATCCATTCGGAGAGCATGGAGGAGGACTGTGCATGTGAGGGTGCCAGGGACAGCTTTCCGGACAATAAGCGTTCAAATACATTGACCAAAGGTGGCCATGAGAACCCACTGCTTTTAAATGCAGGAGGGCATGGGGACCCAGAATCTCTGCTAGGAACTGTTAATCAGGGGCAGGAATTGGGGACGCATCATTACAGACATCAGCCAGCTACCGGATTCAGTAGGAATAAGGTGCCCAGCAGAGGTAAGACTTAGTGCTACTTGTGTACATGAAACAGCCTCTTCCAATTGCAGATACACCCCACATGCAAGCAGAGATGACTGTGTGTATCAGACAGAACTAGGAGTTTCAGTGACAGTCAACTTAGGGCAGTATTTTCTGGAGCCTTTTGGCTCTTAAGGCTGTAAGTAAATTGTGGACTCATACAAACTTTGTACCAAACAACGAGGAGGAGAATTGTTAAATAATAAAGGGACACTCCCAGACTCCTAGGACTTGGAATTTGATGATTCTAACCTGCAGGTAATGAGAAAAGACCCTGGATTCCTGTTTTGCCTTTAGAGATGAGCTGCAAAGTTTTGGGTGGTTTATCTGGTTTTTTTTTTTTTAATTAAAAAAATCTAGTGTCCCAAATTAAGGGAATATGTGTGTATTAAATTATCCCTACTGCCCAAAGCTGTGACTGGTTCCTCCTTCGCAGTTCGGGCAGTGCTACAAGGGTCAATGAAATGTAGCCTGTAGTGCACAGTGTCATTTCTTGGGCCAGCTCCCTCCACTACAGTAACAGAGAGCACTAACTGGTAGCCCCAGAGGGAGCTTGAATGATCTGCTTTAGGAAAACTGGTTGTTAAACTTGCTCCTAGTGAGTCCCTCAGGCCTGTTTTTGGTCCTGTGGAAAGTACTGTCCCCTTTCCTGGTCTCCGCACCCACCGTAACTATGGTGACAGAGCAGCATGACGAGTGGTCTCTTCAAATGACTGTTCTCCCTGCATTGTAGTTCCGTGTGTTTAGAATTCATCTCCTGCCTACCCGTTCAAGAGGGGCGAAGGCTCTGAGCAGTACCACCTGGCAGGCCTGAGCAGGATAGAGCTATATCTGCTGTAGGAATGAGATGCATCTTATTTGAAGCCACCCGCTTTCTCTTGACTCCCTTGCTGTGCTGGTGCTTTGCCCACTCAGGAGGCATGGCTTAATGTTGAGACAGTAACCACAGGTATTTTGTCATGTTGTGCGTTCAAGCAGGTGTGCATGTGAGATGAAAGGGGTCCTTCAGAGCGAGGACTAGGGCGAGGAGTGGCCTGCCATCACTGTGCATTTGGTGATTTAGACCACTAACGCGCTGGTCCTGTCAGACCTCCATTTTTCTGCTGTGCTGCAGTTTCCAGGCATGGCCCTGGTAAAGGAGAGAGCTGTCCGAGTGCAAGCAGGCTCCGGAAACTCCTCTTTTTTTGAGTTCCTCATTTTACTGACCTGGGTCATTTTTATTATTGACACAGCTAAATAAACTCCATGTAAAATGGTGCGAATGACTAAACAAGCCAAAAGCCATGCTTGTGCCCCGCTAATTGCTCTGTTAATATCATGATACACAGGAGAGTAGGACTTTAGACTGCAAGACTTTGTAAATGAGTAAAGAGAAGTCAACATTTACCATGAATTGTGCAAGCTGTTCTGAAAGAGGGAGGGAGTGCGCATGTGGCTGTTTGGAGTGTTACTGTAGTAGATTGTACTCAAAGGTGTAGCTACCCTGACCTTTATTTTCCTCCTTGTGTTTAATAACCCAGTTGGAATCTAGCCTACACTCTTCCCGCTCCAATTGAGCTGCCATTTAAGTGACCCAAGCACTCTTATGTACAAATTAAATGAAATAAAACCTCAATGTAAATAGCACTAAAGAGTTCACTTCCAATCAGCTGCATACAAAACAACTCCAATGTTATCAGCAGCTCTGTGCACGCGCCCCTGAAGATCAACTGGGGGAGTATGGCCGGGGGGTATTTAAACCCAAACAAGTGTAACTGTATGATGGTTTCTCTTGAATAATTTTTTTCTCCTCCCAACCCCCCCGCCCCGCCTCACCCAAAAGGTTAGACTTTGTCTTTGAGCTCCCCTAGCTACATTCACAATGTTGTTTGAATGGGTTTTAAATTGTAATTTCCCTTAAGAGGAAAATGTATTGTGGAAACAATAGAGTCGATATTTTTGCTTGAGAGATTATGAACCACTTCCTGGTCACTTGCACGCCGGTATATAAACTGAGGAGTATGCTGTTCCTGGTTACAGTTCTCTGGCGTGCCCAGTGAGTACTTTGGTCCACGTACTTGCCCGACAGAAGTGTAATTGTGTGTTGGGACGTTACGTAGCGTTTTGGGGCATGCCACCACTTACTGCTGCCTGTCACCTAAATCCTTATGAAGGGTCCCACCAGCTGCGGCCCACTAGGTTTGGATTCAGTGACTCGCTTGCGGGGCATCGCTGTGCCCCAGATGCTGTACAGCTTTGGAAACGCTGCCCAGCCCAGGGTGCCAGCCCCAAAACACCTTCAGTAGCCCTGGAGATTACTCACTAATTTGGTGGAGGAATAAATCACCGCTGTGTCTCCCGTGTTGTGTTAAAGCCATGCGGGGAATTGGAAACCAAGCTGTCTGTCTTGCACACATGTGGATAACTGACTCCTGCCATGGAGCTTTACCCTGCTCAGGTGGCTGCTGGGGGACGGAAAGAATTCAGATTGGGGTTTACAATGAAACGTGGATACAAATGTGAGCCTCCCAGGCTCTGTGTAATCTGGGCCTAAGCATGAGAAGTGCTGACAGCAGTGGCAGCTGCAAGTGCTAAATGGTTTTCTTGCTCCGTGTGCGGTTTGTATAGAAGGGAACTCCTCCCTTCCCTGGAGCCTCAGGTGTATGGGCTGCCCTAGTGGAGGCGGGCTACTGGGCTTCACGGGCTGCTAACTGTGCTCCTCTCTTGCTCCAGATTTGTACTGACGTTCTTTGTGCAGCCCTTACAGGTTGGTTGCTGATAGCTGCAGGCTCTTGTGAGCTGCCCACTCAGGCAACCGCTCCCACAGTTTGAACAGCAGCCAGAGCTGTGGGTGGGTGGCAGTTCTTTCTCACTGCCTCGTTCCAACCGTTTGTTTTCCAGGGTAACTCAAGTTTTGTTTTGTTTTTCCAGGAAAGTGAGACTTGTAACTGAACTTAACCTTGTGGCCGTGCAGAGGGAGGCAAAGCCAAGACCCAGTCTTGTATTATTGCAAAATCTGCTCTCATAACACCACAGCATGGTGAAGTACCATGTAATTGTGATATAAAGCAGCATGATCAGTGCATTTCAACTCCCTCCCTCCCTGCCCCCAAAACACCGGGGAGGCCAAGTGAGCGGGGAGGCGATACACTGGAGGGGCTAGTGAACTGGCATTGCTGAGGAATAGTACGGCTAGACAGTCAAGTTGATCCACATGCAACACTTGTCTCTGCCAGCTTAGTCACAAGCTGGTTTGATCATGGATAATGCCCGTTTAGATCGGATTGGACTGTGGGCAAGGGAGTGCTGGCACAAGAGGCTGCCAAACCCCATTCTTCATGCGGAGGGAGATGTGAACCCAGATTCTGTACCTAGTGATGAAAGGCTACAACTCGTCTGTGAGAGCCAAGACGTGTTCATGCAGAGGGACCTGGAGTCTAGACCCATTCGCTGAGCAGGAATCCCAGACTCTGAAGGGCTGTTTGGCTGCAGAGTGAGACACACATGTTCTCTACTGGGAATGGGGAGGCCCCATTGTTGCTTTTGCTAAAATGTGGGATATTCCTTAGGACAGGTGCAGGTCCCCCCACATGCCTGAATTGTGTTAGTTTCCTGGGGCAGTACAGTTTGGGGCCCAGTCCGGATGGCACTGAAACGAATGGATGTTCTGCTAAAGGCTTTGTTGGGAGCAGGGCCATTTACGATAACTGCCAGGCATGACATCTTGCCAAAGCAAAGAGACCACAGCTATGCCTGGTGTAACTCCATAGGCACCAACAGTGTCACGCCCAGGTTGGATTTGTCCCCGAGTGTCCAGTACTGACTCTGGAAAGGGCCTCTCCAAAGCAGTGCGGCGCCTCGCAGCACCACCAGCTCCGTTTCCCCCAGGCAAGGAGGTAGGAGCTCTGTAGCCCTGAGTCAGCCGTCCTTGTGCCCAAGGAGACATGGAGGAGCTACTCAGTGCAGCTCCAGAGTTGTGCTTGGTCCTTTCCTCTGACCCGTGAGTTGTCACGTTGTCCCTGAGTATTCCCAACACCTGGTGGTCTGGAGAGCAGGAAAACCGAACCAGGGCCTCTTCATGGTGCTGTGTGGTGCCGCGCAGTGGCCTGGATAGACATCAGCTGAATGCCTGGTAGGCCCCCACCAGAGGTTGTGTATCCTGCCTTTGCAGCAGATTCGCTTGATGATCTGACAGGTGGATGCTCCCCTTTCAACATCACTGATCCCCATGATTTCACCAGGTATCAGGCCCCCAGAGCTGTAAAGCTTGTGTAATGAGCAGCTGGCTTGTTCTGCCTGCCTCAGAAAAAGAGAGGGCTGGAAGGTGGAACAGTCTGCTCAGTGTGTGACAGAAGTGAGCGAGGATAGGCTTCCAGGCTTCCTCGTTCATTCAGAGTCCGATGCGACCTTTAGTAACATGAGTTTTTGCTTAATATAAATGTAACTTTTGCCCTCAGACACAGCAGCTCCTGCAGCAGGGTACGGATGGACTTTGCCAGGCAGGAACTTGCCCAGATATTCAGCTTTCTACAAACATGTTTGAAAAGGGCAAGGAGCAGCGGTTTGATACAGATTTAGTATCGGTAACTCCCTTTGCCAAGGTTATGCAGAATGGCCCTTCTGGGACCTTCATTATATGGAAATCATAAGCATCTCTTTCTGGAGTGGTCTCTTTTGGAGCATCTGACCCATTCAAATAAGTGGGAGCAACAGGCTGTCTTAGTACTGGACAGGAACGAGGTTTTGTGGGTGTCTCCCGGCATTGTGATAACGTTTCTTTCTCCTCAAATATTATGTATCTGATTGAGACAGAAATTGTGCTGTCTTCCTTCTGAGTTCTCTTGAAGTGATTCCGGTCTGCTGCGAGCTGTGACTGGGATCAATAGTCGAGCTGGTCGCGAGAGCCTCTTGAATAGAGCAGCCCAGACATGGTCTTTGGAGTCAAGGAAAAACAAATCTGTGCTTCTCAGTCAGGAACAAGAAATATATGTCCAGTTGATATCCTTTTTGCACAGTCCTCATTGGCTAATGGATTAATTCATCCCCCCTGACTTCTGAGATCCTGCCAGAGTTCTGCATTAAGGCAGTTACTCCATGTTCTGTACCACTCAGGAAACCGCTGGCTTCTTTATACTAATCCCCTTTCTCTTTTGTCTAACTCCCAAGAATCCATTGTAGGGAATTGTATGGACAGAAGTTCTCCAGGACAAGCTATGGAGATGCCCAGTCATAATGGATTGGGTTATTCTGCAAGACCAGCTTCCATTGAACACCACAGACCCAGGACTCTGCAGAGACATCACACCATACAGAACAGCGATGATGCCTATGTAGGTTTGAGAAGGTTCATGGCTGCCAGGCCTTATGTACTGTGTAAAACTTACTATGAAGTGTGCGTTCTAGGGCTGAGCAAATAAGCCATTCACTAGCCAAATACAGACCCGCTTGTAACCCTGTGGGGCTAACTTGGAATCCAGTGCTGTGCAGAGCAATGCTTCCCCCTCTGCCTTTGGAACATCTCAACTGCATGTCCGTTGTGTACCGTGCAGTGTTTCAAGTGCTTTTAGCAGAGACCAACCCAAAAGTGAAATCTCCTACCTGTGGCTAAACAAGCATTGCCCGGTTTACCCACATACACCCAAGTCCATATGAAATTTTCCTGCAGGGTCAAGTGCACCCTAGGGTGCCTCTGCTGAAAACATTTGAGTTAAAGCAGGGATGAATACAGCCCGGAGTGTCTTATAATCTGCAAAAGAACCAAACTTCCAGCCAGGCAATATTGGTGAACAACCTAGCAGTGCGGTCTCAGCCATTGAGAGATCAGCGCAAGGACAGCTGCACTGCGTACGGGTACGTCAGCCCTTTGGGGATTTGAAGCAGTTCTGGCATAGTAAAGCCCTGGGTTAACTCTCCTTATAACTTACTAGGGTGCTGGAAGAAAATGTGCACTTGTGACTGTCTCCTTTCATCCTGGGGGAGCCCTGGGGTGTGACTCTGTCTCCTTCTGCCGTCTCCTCAGGTCCAGTTGGATAACTTGCCTGGAATGAGTTTAATGGCTGGAAAAGCACTAAGCTCTGCTCGGATGTCTGATGCAGTACTCAGCCAGTCATCGCTCATGGCCAGCCAGCAGCTACATGCCAGGGAGAGCGAGGGTAAGGACTTCCCTGGGGCTGAAAAGGCATCTTTCAGAGGTGATTGAATTCTGCTGCAATCTGGTTTGGGTCAGAAGCGACGCTGATTTGTGTCATCCTGGTCTATCAGATATGGGTCCACACCACAGAGTCACTTCCCTTGGTGGTATTCCTGTGCATGGAGCCAGCAGTGTACTAGGCACGTTGTAATACTGTCGAGTACGGTACAGTTGGCATTCTCTGTTTAAGCGTGGCCAAGGGCTGGAATAATAGATCTGCATTGGCAGAGCTGTGGAGGCTGAAAGATCAGGAGGAGTTGCAGGTCAGAGTTGAGGTGTATTGGCCTTTTGTGTGTCGAAAGCTTGCACTGATTGACTCTAGGCACTGTTACCAACCTCCCCACCGAGCATGTGCTGGTGCTTATTTCTGGTGCAGCCCTTACAGACGCTTGTCATTCTGGGTTGTGCTGCAGTTTCAAGCACATAGTGGCTTCCGTGTATAGTGACGCTTGTCTTGGATTCCTGTGAAGCACACACTACTGGCTGGAATCCTTTCCAGGTAAATTTCCACACACGCTTCTCGTCTCCATTCTTCTCAAGGTCTGTTGTCATCTCTCCCGTACTCTCTGAGCAGCAGGGAGACAGCTGGGCTGTAGCACATAAAGCACAGTGTGACTTCTTAGGTAGTTGTGACATCGGCAAAGTCCTGGATTTGTGTCATGCTCACTGCAACGACTTTCTGTTAAAATGAGGGACAACCCTGCATGCCAGCCCTGACCCACACTCAGCACCTCAGGCCTGCCTGAGCCCTCTGCCAGAAGCTTCAATCAACTTTGCTCTCCTGGGCCCTTGGTAGACTCCAGTGTCCCAAGTAGCAGTGAGAGATTTCTCCCATTCGCCTACAAACTCTGATGTTACTCTTTGGTCTTGCAGACTGTGGGGAAAGTTTGGAAGGTCAAGAGCATCCAAATCTAGCTGATGGCAGCCAGCATTTAAACACCTCTTGTTATCCATCTACGTGTATTACAGACGTCCTCCTGAGCTACAAGCACCCGGAGGTGCCCTTTGGGATGGAGCAGGCTGGGGTGTAGCAGGAAGGAGGGAGTGAGTATTTTTCTGTTTCTGTAAGTTCAGATCTTCCCTTTTCTGCCTCTAGGGTAGATCTTCAGTACCAGTAGCCCATGGGCTAGATCTCCCTAGACAACTCCTTGCCCCTCCCTTAGCTGTGGGTCTGAGAATGAAGTTTAAGATAGAGGATGTCCTTGCTGAGCTTCCAGAGGTCAGTTGTTTGCACTGCGGACAGTGCCGCCCTCGTAAACTTGCTGCTGGTGACCTTCAGTAGCTACTCGCCGCTTCTGCTTTGTAGAGTCTCTGGGTGGGAGTGCAGGGATTGGCGAGGGAAGGACTTGGCTGCTGGTGCAAGAACAAGCCCGAGCAGCAATGTTTCCCATCTGTACGGTGGTGTGTGTGGGGAGAGTGGACTCCAGACGGGGGGAGCCAGGAGGCAGCTCTCTGAACAGCTGTACAGTGACTCAGGCCTCTCTGGCTCGTCCCCTTTCTGTGGAGGGGCAGCTTTCAGGAGCCGCTGCTGCTGTTGGTAGAAGGACATGGCACCTGAAGATGGTAGTCTGTGGACTTGCGTGATCCTGTCAGCTACATGGAGCAGTGGGCACACCTCCATGGGGCACGCAGCCCCTCCTTGTGCACGTCTCCCTTTTCTTTCAAGCCCCTTGTGGCATTGGCAGCATGAGCACTTGGGGCACGTAGCCGGCTTTGTCAGGCTGGAGCATGGGGCGGGCAGAGGGATGTTTAAGGAGAAATGTCTGTCTCTTGTCCTGGCCTTTAACACCCCTTCTCTTCTCTTCTCTCCTCCCTCTCTCTCTCTGTCTCTTTTTTCCAGGTTTTGTGTACAGCTTTGAAATGAAAAGGTCCATTTTAAACCAACAGTATCTAGCAGCATTGCGCCAAATCGCCATAGTATTTCTCACTGAAATATCATGGCTCTTTTCCTCATAATCAGTTCCTCAGTGTGTCATTCTTTTGGTTTCTTTCGTTTTTGCCATATTTGCCTGTAACTCCAGCTATCACAGAGCTAACCAGAGAACCCGAGTCCTACACCCTGTGTGAAAGGATTGATGGAACTTGAGTTTTGCATTTGGTTTGGAGGGGGTTTAAATGCGAAGGTCCAGGCCATCATGGATGGTGCAGACTCAGGCGTTCTCCCCTTCATCCAACTCTGCTCTTAAGACTGTCCAACATCATCTTTTTCTGGGGACAAGTAGGAGAGCATGGGACAAATGCCTTCCAGGAGCCTGCCTGAATAGGGGAAGCAAGGGGCAGGGAGGGAATTTGAAGCTCTGTCCTTTGGCAAGCAATAAGCAGAGCTCCTGAAAACCAAGTCCAAAACCAGAGTCGTTTTTCCGGAGTTCCAGCACACACCATGCCCCAGAAGCCCAGCCCCAGGGGCAGAAGAAGGCCACACTGTAGTTTTATTTCCATAGCGGGGCCAGAGCTACTCTGGGGCAAGAGCAACTCCAGTCTCCCTTACCACGATGCCAGCCTGTCCAACCCACCCCCATCTGACCTGCGGAGCAGCTTGCGTCCCCGACCCCACTGGTTCTTCCGGTGGTGCAGTACGCTTTGTCTCTCTCATCTTTGTCTGCTTTTCTTTTTCTCTATTTTTGGTCATTGTGCTAAAAGGATCATTTCCCCCTCCTCCTCCTTTTTTAATACCTTTTCCTTTCAAACCCATGTACGACCCTTTTTTTTTTTTTTTTTTTTTTTTTTTCAGTTTAAAGTAAAGAAGACAAGTTGTTTCCCTTTGTCTTTCTAGCTTTTCCTCCTGATCATGTAGGAATTGTTTTATGGTAAATGTTGTTGTTTTTATTATTGTTGTTGTTATTATTATTATTATTATTATTAATAAAAGACAAAAGGAATTTCTGTTTGAGAGAAATTTTTAACTAGATTCTGTTCTATTTGAATTGTGACTTGCACCTTTTGTTCAAAGTATTTTATTTCTTTTTAATGACATTGTAATTGTGACTGTTTTTTTTCCTCTTGTGCCAGTGGCAGAAGTGATGTTCTCCTTTATACAAATTCAGACATGCATAGATCTCTTCTTTGTCATTCTTTTCCATTTCTTCCCTTGACTGATAGAAACCAATGCCCCCTCCAGTGGTTGGGGCTAAGGGAGTATTTTGTGTCATCGTTGCCTTTGGAACTTTAAAAGCTACAACTGAAAATTCCTATTATTGACACTTTTGGGGGAATTTTTTTTAAATAAAGGAAAAATCAGTCCAACCCTCCTGAATTTGCACAGAAGGAAGTGTGAGACCAGCATGGCAAAGGTTAATTTGCTATTACCATCTCTTCCCCAAAGTCCCCCAGCAATTGTCATAAATGGACCTGCAATTAGAAGAAAAGGAGAGGGGAGGGGAGAGAAGAAATCTGCAGCTGACAAACAGTATCTCCCAGGTTAATGTTTCTAGAAAGCCTAATGTCACTCTGGTTTTATTGGTGTGTAGTTGTCAAGTTACATTTCTTTAACATGTAAAATAGGTGGTGTGTGTTGGGGGGGTGGGGGACCCAGACAGGGCTTGCCGGACTTAAGTGAGAGGGTACCAAGAAACACTGAAAGGCTTTTTGACATTGCTCTGTATCTTTGATTTGTTTTCCTTTTGTTTACATGACGTATTTCTGGGAGAGTTGACAGCCGCCCTACAGTAGCCATCCAAAAGAAAAGCAAGGACTTGCTTAACCGTGCCATTTCGCCGTATCACACTTTTTTATCATTGCTTTGTATTGTAGTAATCAATACGCGCAGTATATGTTGAATGTATATTAATATACTTTGCTATTATTTCTGTTTTTTGGAAATGTCCGAAGTATTTTTTCTTCCTCGTTTATGCTGGACTAAAAACAAACAACTTTCAGTAAATCTTTAGTCCATTTTTTTGTGGGTCACTTGCAACTAGTAACTTAGTTGGACAATGGGATCATGACAAATAAAATCATGATTATGATCTTGTGATCTCTTGTTTGTGTTGTTGCTCAATATCTGATGCAAAGGAGAAGCCAGCCCAACTTGGATTCTCTGAATAGCGTCCCAGAAGTTGAAAGCTGCAGTGTGCCAGGTTTGGCTGCTCTCCAGTTGCTGCATGTTTCGGTCTGTTATCCAGCCTGCTATATGAAATCACCCTTGCCGGTGGTGATCTGACTTTTCAAAGCTGAAATGGACAGAATGGGGGCTCCTGCATAACATGTGGAAACAGACTCCCTTGACCTGCTGAGCACCACCTGAGCTGAACACCTCAGAATGAAACTTACCAACACAGTGGTTTTCAACCTTTGGTCTGCAGACTGTGCCTAAGATTTCCAGACGGCTCCGCACCTCCATTCAACATTTTTTAGGGGTCCGCAAATGAAAAAAGGTTGGAAATCACTGTACTAACACATTGCTGGAAGGCGTGTGGTCAGGGGCTGGGCATAGGAAATGCCAGAGGCTGTTGGGGAGTGGGAAGGTCTTTGCGGTCTTTGCCCATTCTTTCCAAATGGACAAGCACTTCCCTAGGTTAGGTGACCTTTGATACATCGACTGTCAATGGATCGACTTCATTGTGCATCCACATGTAGCCAGTTGTTTTAAAAGGCAGCACAGACCTCACTTAAGAAGCTCAATGGCTTCTGGTATGAGATTTTATCTGCTTTGTTAATAATAAACTTACTCAGAAGATATGGGCAGGATTTGCATGTTCTGTCTCCCTGGCCAATTTATCCCAGCTTCAGATGATTAAATGAAGAAGTGCCTGAATTTTATAGTGCCTTCAGGTTCCTGGTAATTGTACTCTGATCTTTTCTCTGAAATCTCTCATTTACCCGCCCTGGCCCCGCAGAGAAGATACAGCCTAAAGCAAAGGGATTCCGAGTTGATGGGAATTGATGGTGCCCTGTCTAAAGCTCACATTGTGGATCTGTAAAATCACTCACTGTGTCTAAGCACCTGCTGTGCATGCAAATGAGTCCCTACTGCTCTGGGGACCTCAGCAGAGGTGAAAGTCCAGGTGCCAGGTTTCATTCAGATACTCTCACGGCAGAACTGTGCAACTCCTATTCAGGGTTTGCAATGCAGAGTGTAAGGCCGGGGCTCTGCAAAGCACTTAAGTGTGTGCTTCAAGTTAAGGCTGCTGTGATCCTTGACCCCGTCCCTGTTTTCCTGTTAGAACTACAGTAAATCCATCAGGTTCTCACCCTTTTAGTGGCTTATTGATATTGACCAGATGTGATGAAGCGGGACTGTTCTTAATGTTTCCTCTGAATAGTGTGGGGGTGCCTCAGTTTCCCCTATGCAGTTCTTAAGTATCTAGGTGGTGGGGTAAGGGTGTATGATCATTGCAGAGCCCTAGAGGGCAGGTATGTGCAGGGGTCTGGACACAGAGAATGGCCAACACCCTGTTTCCTGGCAACTGATGGCCTGGGCCCTTCCCCCCTGCAAGGTGAGAGCTAAAGGGTTGGAGAACAAAGGAATCAGGTGACCTCCTGGCCCGGGAAAGGGGAAAGCAAGAGGAGGAGGGGCTGGAGGGAGTTTCAGTTTGGGGCTGGCTGGGGACATGGAGTGAAGGGCAGACGTGCTTGTCTGGCTCACTGCCCCCCAAAATGGACCCAGCTGAGGGGTCCTGTTCTCTGCACCTACAAGCTCTGTTTTAGACCATGTTCCTATCGTCTAATAATCCTTCTATTTTACTGGCTGGCTGAAAGTCATGTCTGACTGCGGAGTTGTGGGGCAGGACCCTCTGGCTTCCCCAGGAGCCCCGCCTGGGCGGACTCGCTGTGGGAAGCGCACAGAGGGGCAGAGGATGCTGAATGCTCTGAGGTCAGACCCAGGAAGGTGGAAGCTGTGTGAGCTGTGTGTCCTGCAGACAGGCTGCTCACAGAAAGGAGACTTCCCCAGAGTCCTGGCTGGCTTCATGGGGAGCAGTTCTAGAGCATCGCCCAGGGACTCGGTGACACCAGACCTTTAAGCTTGTGATGGGGGTCACTGCTGCTTTTTCCTCTGCGCTCCCTCCATTATCACGTGCTTTCTCTCCCCAGTTTCTGTTCATGACAAAGTCAATCCTGGGGGCTGCTTGTCCTATCCCAGCAGGACCAAACTATACCTCTGTTGTTGCTCTTCCCCCTCCCCCCCTTGAACTCACCTGTGATCGCTCTACTCTGTCACAGCTTCAGTAGGGGGCGGTATCCATCCATCCTACCTGTGTCTCCTGTACCCCCTAGTCTCACTTCCAAGCCAGAGTGTGAAGAAACAGAACAAGCTGCCAGTTAAATGGCATCTCAGTGAGTCCAGTGCCCTGGGCAGAGAGATTTAATCCAGAACTGAAAAGGAACCACCTGGGGAGTGGAGCAAGGCACCTGCTTGGTACCAGCAATAGGACCCCCCTCATGGAAGGAGAAGGGAATTACATATACAGCAGAAACTGCAGGGGGAGTTCAGTGATTTGGGATGTAATGGCCCACTGTGGAGTTGTTGCCAGGACACTGGGGTCTATTCCTGTGGGCTGTAACAACTCCTTGGTGTCCTCTCCTGACAGGACGGCCCCCCTGTTCCACCGTGTCGCTGTGCTGGTGGAAGGAAGTCACTTGGTGAATCACCAAAATCCCTTCCTGCCCCAGCCAGGCCTTGCCAAGAGCGATCCGCCGGAGCCTGCCTGGACTGCTGGATGGGTGCTCACAGCTGGAGGGGGAATGAGGTCTACAGGGTAGGAATAAAGAAAGGCCTTAGGACTGAAAACAGTGTCCAAAACTCCACCAGGGAAGTCTGACTGGGCCGGGGGAAAGGGACTGACTTGTCCCAGAGCAGCCCCAGCACCGGTGTGGCTGGAGACCAGCAGGTGCCTGTTAATTATCTGTCTGGGGCAGCTCCTGCCCTGAGTGCCCCAGCTCCGCCCTGTCCCAATGCCGTTTCTCTCTGAGCCAGACCAGAGCAGCCGGAGCTAGCTGGACCAGCCATGTGTGATGGTGAAGCAACTGGTGCAGTAAGTCCAGAGCATGCTGGTGTCTTTCAGCAGGAGCACTTGCTGGCCCCATGTTCACATCCCCTGGTTGCAGTTTGGGTGAATTCTCTGGCTCTTTGTCTCTGCTGCTGGATTATCCCAGCAGCTCATGCCCATGTCTGTGAAGAGCAAATCGGACAAATTGCACCAATTGCCAGGTTGCTGCCCAGGGCTGACACAGCCCCTCGCTGCCCCACCTCCACACTACACGTCCTGCAGCCCGTTGAATTCTGGGTCCTGCTGTCCAAGGGGCACTCCACAGGTAGGGCTGCCTCCTGCTACAGCTGTGAGGAATCCTGTCGGTTTAAATGGCCCAAAAACGGAGTTGATTCCCTGGCCTGATGCCCTCTTGTCCCCTGGCCCCATACAGGCCAAAGGGGAAGCGCTCTCGGGTGAGCCCCATGTTCTTCAGGTTATTGCTTAGGTAGGTGGCTTGGCTTAGGATGGTCTCTGCTCTGGAGGTCATCGGGGCTGAGCCATTCTCTTGCCAAGGCTGGGAATTGAGGGAGTTTGTCAGAGGCCGTGGCAGGGTAGTGGGAGGTTAGAGCATTTGGTATTGCAGACTTCGAGCCCCATCTCCATTCCTGTGGTCCTACACCCCCCATTGCACACAGCACCACAGGGCTGAGCGCTGTCTGCCTGGCAGGTTCCCATTTGCGCTAGGCACCCGGGGCAACCTGCAGGTGGTTACTTTAGAGCTGGGATGGGGGGGCACATGGTGGCTAGTGCAAATTTAATTGTTTCAAAAGAAAAACACACAGGCGTGAGGTGTCCTGGGAAAACAAGGCTGAATCCCTGAGGATGCAAATCTTGCTCACTGGCTCCCATCGAATCTCAGGGGCTTCTGAAGGGCCAGGGGTAGGGAGGGGTCCCAATGTGGCTGGTGGAAAATCTGGGTCAGCCGAAGTAAACAAACAGCCTTGCTGGTCTGGAGGCTCCCACTGCAGGAGCCTGTTTGTTCTGGCCTCTCCTCCCAGGCAGTTGCTCCTTGATCGCGCCCGTCCACAGCGGGGATGTGTTCGATCCTTGAACTCTAAGCGCCACATAATCAGAACTTGGGAGTGCTTTCCCGAGCTTATCTCCAGGATAAATCCCCTCTCCGGTATAAATAACAGCACTGGGGACACACAAGCCATACTCAAGAGGAGCAGCAGCAGCAGCAGGAGGCAGTGAAACTGGTAAGTGCCTCAATCCTTCTAGGGGTGTGATTTGCTGGGAATTGTTCCTGAGGAGAGCTGGGGAGTCCTGCTCTGTCTTGGAGCATTGGCCCTGCTCTGTGCGGCCTCCCTCTGTCCTGGGAGGTTAAACCTGCCCTTGAGCGTAACTGCTGTGAGAGGTGATGGAGGGGAGGGGATAGCCTCACCCCACCCTGGGAGAATTAAATCAGCAGCAGCATAACTGGGAAGCAGAAAGATCATGAACCCTTGACCCATTGCCTCTGTCTGGGCTCTTGCTCGCCCTGCTGTAAAGGCACCTAATGGCTTCTGTTACATGGTCTCGCCAGTCAGGCTGATGCAAAGCCCTGAGCTGCCTTAAATGGGCAGGGGCAGAATGGGGCAATGCCAGGTGGGTAAGTGGCTCTCCCCTGAGGGATAGTGACAGAAGGAACAAGGCTTGTCCCAGATTGTCACCGTCCTCCAGTGATTAATCATCGACTGGCAGCTCCTCGCTCTGTTAAGCAGTTTCTGTTTGTTCACTTGAGCCCCAAACGCTTTTGCCTTCCCCAGGTTGAGAGACACAGCCGAAGATGAGAGCAGGCATTGTGATCCTCGCCCTGGTGTTCCTCACAGGTAGGGCCAAAAACCAGCACAAAACTCGAAGGCGGGGTGAATCCAGACACCCCTGAGCAGGGAGGGCGGAGGAGCTGTGTTCAGCCCAGGGCATGCGGTACCCCAGAAGTCAGAGCCCTGGGCAGGCCCGCGTGCCTGGCTGTGCAAGGGGCCAGGCCCAGCAGCCTCTGCAGAAGGCGTCCAGCTTAGAGTGA